GGGGGGGGCGAAGTTTGGTTTTTGTGTCTCCAGCTCTTGTCTGTTTGGGGTTTGGAGTTCGATTCTCCCTCCTCAGGATATTTTTTCCATTTATGACCCATCTGGGCACGTAATTAGCAGCAATTGACAACAAACGGCTACTTGGATTGTGAGAAAGCCGAGCCTCTTGGATTTCCTGTGGATCTAACCACAGGAAATTACTTTGGCGCTTTCTGATGACATCATCCTGACCGCAGGGCTTCCTCTGAATGCACAGCTGTTTTTCTTGGCCCCCTTGGCAGTTTTTTCTGTAACACAGAGATGATTATAAAGTTGCAACGGTGCTGATGTGAATTCCACCAGAAGGGGCTTGTTTTGTGCCGGTTTGAAATGAGGTAATGGCGTCACCTCCAGGGGCAGGAGGTGGAGGAGGAAAGGAGAAGAGGGGGAAGCCGTCCAGCTGGAACATGAGCCTGCCCTCCCCCCTCCACCCACCCCCTTGCCCCCCAGCCTCTCGCAGGGGAGTCTGGGGCTCTGGCAGACTCAGCAACCCGGAAGAGGTTTCAAGAGGAACCATCAGGGACGGGTGTGTGTGTGTGTGTGTGTGTGAGAGAGAGAACTTTGGACCCTCACATCACAAGGGTGGTGATGCCTTTCCCACCTGTGGCAGCAGGTGAGAAAGGAGAGCAGCCGGTGAGCAAAAGGGACTTGCGGCAAGACATCGGATCTCCCCCCACCACCACTGAAAGGGAGCGAGTGGCCCCTGCAGGTTGGCCTGCCTCTTCGTCCCCCTGGTCTTAAGAGGGCTCTGAGCCTGGTCGTGGGGGCTTACTGGAAAACCTGGCAGGAGGAGCAGGCGATTGCAAAACCCCCCCCCACCCCCAGCCCTCTCCGCCTTGTGTGCCAAAAGTCCCCCTCTTCTTAAGGGAAGGGGTACTTCCCAGTGGAGGGCTGCGTGGTTCCAGCCTCTCTCTCCCCCCCCACACACGCTTGCATGCTTTCCCCGTTGCTGCTCAGACCACAGAGCGTCTGTCACATCCCCGCTCCTCCCGCTCTCGTGGGCCTTTGGACGCCTCCGATGCCAGGACTGCTTTTAAAAATAGCACCAGGAGCGAGGCCGGACCGAAGCTTGGCTCTCTGAAGATGGTGGGACCGTCTGCCAACCAGGACGAGGGGAGGGATGTTCCTGGCAACTGCCGGGGCCTCACCGCGCTCGGCGGAGGCGGGCAGCCTCTTTGGCGCTCACCCAGGTAGGGAAGGGGTCCCCTCCACTGGAGGAGGCTTGCGGTGGGGCCCCTTGGGCTGCGTCCTGGCCCTGGAGGAACCCAGGGAGGAGGGCAGGCGGACCCCCTGGCCTCCCGGGCAGCCCTGCTTCAGCAGGACCTCTTGGCGGTGGCCCAGCCGCTGCTCTTTCCAGGTCCTTATCTTGCCTCCAACCAGAACAGCAAGGGGAGGGCACTAGAGCAGGATGCGTCCCACGAGGGGGCCGGCTTGAGCAAGGGTTCTGGGAGGAAGCCTCGGGCAGCAGCTGCGGTTGTGGAGAAGGCAGCTGCGGTGGAAGGAAGGAAGGAAGGTCCTGTCGTGACCCAGAGATGGGGGTGGCTGCCTTCTTGTCGTGTGGATGCTGGCGTGTGGGTGAGGGTGAGTTGGTAGTACAGGAGCTCTGCCTTCGTTCCAGACACTCGGCCGTGTGGTTCGGCTCTGCTCAGCCTCCTTTTTTTCCCTTCCATTGTCTTGCCCTCGTGTTGAGCATTAATCATTTTGGAAAGGGAATCAATGGAAAGGGGGAACAAGGGGCCCAGAACGTGGCAGGCCCTCCCGTTGCTCTCTTCCTCCTCCTGCTCCTCCAGAGGACCTCTTCCCCCCCCCTCAGGGCTGTCCATAGTGGCAGAGTGCCTCCGGGCTCTCCCTTCTCGGGGTCCCTGGAGGTGGCGCTCACGGAGCCTCCTGGGAACAGCTGGCGCTGCCGAGGGAGCTGGAGACCCCTCAGGGATGCGGTCACTCAGGGTGTGGAAGGCGGCCTCCCCCTGGGGCTGCTCTCTTGGCGAGCAGTGGCTCTTCCGCTTTGCCCGGGGCCACCACCTCTTGGAGGGCCAGGAAGGATGGAACAGGCGCCGCCTGTGTTTGTCCTTCATGCGGGAGGACTGACTCCCCAGGAAGAGCTGTCCGAGGAAGGCTGCCCTGCAGGGAATGGCCTCCCTCAGATCCCTCGGAGATCCCTGTTTTCTCCTCAAGGACCAGGATCTTCCTTGGAGGAAATACCAGGAATATTTGAAGTCTCAGAAAACTACGAGGGGTCTTTCAAGACCTTTTGGAAAATGTTTCTTACCGATCGGGCACACTGAGGGGGAGAGACAGCGCAGCCTTGCAAGCGAGGGCTGCCTGGATGGGGCCTGGATTCCCCCCCCCCGCTTGTTTGTCCCATCCCCCCCCTTTGCCTAGAGACCCTTTGAAAGCAAGAAGGGCAAAGATCAAAGAGCCAAACTGGATAATGAATGGCTTCCCACAAAAGATCCATTAATTTAGCTCTGCTGTGATGGGAAGGAACAGCCTTTCTAGTTTACTGACTCAGAACCATTGTTTGCTTCCAATCAGTAGCCGGGATAAACAGAGGTTTCTGTCAGAGATAAACGACCCCAGAAAGAGGGAGGAAAATCTTGCCTGGATGGTGGGTCGAGAGGGATGTTGGGGGGGGGATCCCTCCACCCTCCGGAGGCCGAGTGGAGGAGCTCTGAATCCTCGGCTTAGCCAGCGACTCATGGGCTGCTCGTGTTTGCCAGGAACCGTCAACATGATTTCTTTTGTTGTTGCTGCTGCTGTTGTGCATGGGTATAATCTCATCATCTCAAACGTGGCCAGCCCATCTTGAAAAGCAACATTTCTGTCCAAACTAGTAAATGTTGCTTGTTGCGTGAGTGCAGGGCCTTTGCCTGTTTTTGTTAAAAGGTTACAAAATAATGACAGTGGATTTCCTTGCCTGGAAGGAAAGAAAAATACAGAAACAAAGCCATGGAATAGGAACAAGTAGCATCAGTTCTCTTGGGGTCGTCTGGTCCCCTCCAGGGTCCACCTTGTGAGCGTGGAAGGTCTTTCGCAGGGACGGAGGCACCCGGGGTCCCGTTTTGTTTTTCCCTTCGTCCTCAGGGGTCTGAGGAAGGAGGAGCGATCCACCTTCGGGGGGGGGGCTCCCCAGCCCTGCTGTGCAGGAAACAGTCAGGCTCCGGAGGCCACTGGATGCCAGGGCCAACGCGGTCTCCTTTCCACCACCCGTTCTTCTTGCATGCTGCCCAAGGCAGAAAAGGAGCCACGGCTCCTCCGGAAGGCGCTGGCCCCCTCTCTCGGGCAGGGCCTTTGGGTAGCCAGGCCGCCAGGGGGTGGGGGAGGGAAGGCAAGGGGCCTTTGGCTCATCCCTCGTTATCCTGGGAAATGTATAAAGAGGGAAAGAATGGCTTGCGAGGTGGTAACTGCCGGGTGGGTGGGATGGGTTTCTCCTTTCTCCTCTTGGAGCAATGCCCCCCCCACCCTTCCCTGCTCTCTTGACAATGCAGTGTGTAAGCAGTTTTCTTGCGCTGAGATTATGTTCCTGCAAAATCGTGTAATTGAATCTGGGGTGGTGAAGAAGTGGCAGAATGGCTCCCCCCACCCCTCACCTCCACCCCACAGAGTCTGACATTGTTCTGGCGGGTCCTCCCTGGCTCGCCTTGTCTCTCTGGCGGAGGGCCCGGAAGGGCGAGCTCCAAGGGCAGGGGCAGCATCAGCAGGGTGGCAGCTGGACTGGCGTAGCTCGGTGGCCAAAGAGGGTCCGCCTCTCCCTGGCTGATTTTCCAGGGGAATGCTCCCCTCTTCCCCCCCCCAGTGCACCCTCGGCGGCCCTTCAGTGCCCAGTGTCCACGCTCTCTGCTCCCACGGCAATCCTGACATTCCCAGGGTCTCCCCCTCTCTTTGCTTCTCTCCTCCAGGCGGCCTCCTCGGCACTCAGCAGCCTGGGCCATGTCTACACGGCCATTGGCGACTACCCCAACGCGCTGGCGAGCCACAAGCAGTGCGTTCTCCTGGCCAAGCAAGGCAAGGACGAGCTCTCGGAGGCCCGGGAGCTGGGCAACATGGGGGCGGTCTACATCGCCATGGGGGACTTTGAGAACGCAGTGCAGTGCCACGAGCAGCATCTGGGCATTGCCAAGGCCCTGGGGAACCAGCGGGAGGAGGCCCGGGCCTACTCCAACCTGGGCAGCGCCTACCACTACCACCGCAACTTCGACAAGGCCATGTCTTACCACAACCACGTCCTGGAGCTGGCCCAGGAACTGGAGGAGAAGGCCATTGAGATGCGGGCCTACGCCGGCCTGGGCCACGCGGCCCGCTGCATGCAGGACCTGGAGCGGGCCAAGCAGTACCACGAGGAGCAGCTGAGCATCGCCGAGAGCCTGCAGGATCGGGCCGCTGAGGGCCGGGCCTCTTCCAACCTCGGTAAGCAGGGGCTGGGAGCAAGTAAGGGCCCTGCTGTCGGTCCTGGAAAAAAGGGCCTTTTTTTCTTCAGTGGGTCATCCTACCTCACCTTCTGACAATTTAAAGTACAGTGGTGCCTCGCTTAGCGATCGCTCCGTTTTACAGCGAAATCACTTAGCGATGGACTTTTTGCCATCGCCAGAGCGATCGCTTAGCGATGGCCCCTATGGGTAAAAATCGCTTTGCGATGATCGCGGGGACGTGATCATGGCAAAGCGCCCATTTTTTAATAGCTGATCGGCGGTTCCAAAATGGCCGTCGGAAAAACAAAATGGCGACCGCTGTTTTGCCTCGCTTTAGAGGCACCCAAAATGGCTGCCGCTATGGAGTATTTTCACTTACAGGTAAGTTTTTAGCCCATAGGAGCGCATTAAACACGTTTTAATGTGTTCCTTTGGGCTTTTTAAAATCGCTTAGCGACGTTTTTTCCTGCACGGATTATTGTTGCTAAACGAGGCACCACTGTACCTGTTTTTAAAAACAGGAAGCAGATTTCTAGCTGCTTTGAGTCTCCCCCCCCGAATAAGCTAGGCTGCCTCACAGGTCCCGGAGTTGGTTGTCAGCAGCTCTTGATTGCGGAGGAGCTTCTTCCTGCAGCTGCCTGGCTCGTTTGCAGATGCTAATTGTCATCTGATGTTATCGGTCTCCGGTAATTGAAATTGGCTTGATGAATTACTTAATTTCTTCTCAAGAGCCGTGTCTCCCTGGGCTGAATGGAGGCGATAAGGTGAAACCGCTTGTGGAAGAATGCAACGGTGGCCCTTGATCTGCCCCAGAGAATCCCGCAGCTCCTCTCACTCATTATACCAGGCTGTGGAGGGGTGGGGTGGGGGGAGAGGAATGTGGCAGCAGCAATCAGGAGGAGCCGCCCACCCTCGGGGGCTTCTTCTGCCAGGTGGGGGCTCATCCCCTCTGCTAGATGGGGCTTCTGCGCTGTATACGCAAAAGGCCCCAAGGGGACACAATGCTCTTGGCTCCCCCAGAAATCCCTGGCACAGCAGGCGGTCGTCGGGGTTCCCTCTTTCAGGGCCACCTGCCTGAGCTTTGGTGGCCTCAGCTGGTTGTTTTCCCTACAGAGGTTCCCTCCGGCTTGCCTGCCTTCGGAATAGGATTTCTTTCCCACCAAAGCTCTCAGTGCTGGGGTAGGGCTGCTCCTCCTCTGGGGCCCTGGCTAGATGCTGTGTGCCTGGGAGGTGTGGGGGAAAGCCCCGAGGAGAAACGGTTGACCCACACTGGGGTCCATCCGGGCAGGCAGCCTCCACTTCTCAGTGGCTGGAAGAGGTCCCTCTGTGGGTTGCCAGCAGATCCTCTCCTGCAGGAGAGGGGTTTTTTTGGGGGGGGTTGGGGTGCAGACTTCCAGCTGAGAACCGTTCTGTGGTGCTGACCTCTTTGCGGGGAGCAGGAGGAAACCAGGGCCAGGGGGTCCTGTTCTCATCACCCCAGCCTTTCCAGTCGGCGCACGCAAGGCTCCCGTTGTCTCTCACTGGAATGGCCGACATGCTGGGGCCAGTGGGCCAGGCTCTGAGGGAGGGGTTCTGAGGGGCAGGGCTCACCCGTTGTTCCCATGCAGGGATCATCCACCAGATGAAGGGAGACTACGAGACGGCTCTGAAGCTGCACAAATCCCACCTCTCCATCGCGCAAGAGCTGAACGATTACGCGGCCCAGGGCCGGGCGTACGGCAACATGGGCAACGCCTACAACGCCCTGGGCCTCTTCGACCAGGCCGTCAAGTACCACCGGCAGGAGCTGCAGATCTCCATGGAGGTGAACGACCGGGCCTCGCAGGCCTCCACCCACGGCAACTTGGCCGTGGCCTACCAAGCCCTCGGCGCCCATGACCGGGCCCTCCAGCACTACCAGAACCACCTCAACATTGCCCGGGAGCTTCGGGACATCCAGAGCGAGGCTCGCGCCTTGAGCAACCTGGGCAGCTTCCACTGTTCGCGGGGGGAATTTGCCCAGGCGGCCCCCTACTATGAGCTGTACCTGCAGCTCTCTCCAGAGCTCCAGGACATGGAGGGGGAAGGCAAGGTCTGCCACAACCTGGGCTACGCCCACTACTGCCTGGGCAACTACGAGGAGGCCGTGAAGTACTACGAGCAGGACCTGGCTTTGGCCAAGGACCTCCACGACAAGCTGAGCCAGGCCAAGGCCTACTGCAATCTCGGCCTGGCCTTCAAGGCTCTGGGCAACATCGGCAAAGCCGAGGAGTGCCAGAAGTACCTCCTGTCGCTCGCCCAGGCGCTCGGCAACCCTCAGGCCAAGTTCCGGGCCCTGGGCAACCTGGGCGACCTCTCCATCTGCAGGAAGGACGTGGGCGGGGCCATCAAGTTCTACGAGCAGCAGCTGAGCCTGGCCCACCAAGCTGCTGACCGGAAGCTGGAGGCCAGTGCCTACGCGGCCCTGGGCTCGGCCTACCGCCTGGTGCAGAAGTACGACAAGGCCCTGGGCTACCACACGCAGGAGCTGGAGGTCTACCAGGAGCTGGGCGAGGCGCCGGGAGAGTGCCGGGCCCACGGGCACCTGGCCGCCGTCTACATGGCCCTGGGGAAGTACACCATGGCCTTGAAGTGTTACGAGGAGCAGCTGGAGCTGGGCCAGAAGCTGAAGGACCCCGGGATCGAGGCCCAAGTGTACGGGAACATGGGGATCACCAAGATGAACATGAGTGCCATGGAGGAGGCCATCGGCTACTTCGAGCAGCAGCTGGCCACCCTGCAGCAGCTGAGTGGCAGTGAGGCCGTGCTCGACCGAGGCCGGGCCTTTGGCAACCTGGGCGACTGCTACGAGGCCCTGGGGGACTACGAGGAAGCCATCAAGTACTACGAGCAGTACCTGTCGGTGGCGCAGAGCCTGAACCGCATGCAGGACCAGGTCAAGGCCTACCGAGGCCTGGGCAACGGGCACAGGTAAGGAGGGCCCAAGGGGGGCGTGGGCTTTGGGGTGCTTCAGAAGCCAGTCTCTAGTGGGGAAAAGTAGCAGCAGCAGCAGCTCTGTGCATGAGACTGGGGAGGCAGGGATGAAAGAGCCCCCGCTGGGACATAGGACCCAGAGGCTGAAGGCCATCCTTGGGAGCTGCTGGGGGAGGAAGGCGGGCGTGCAGACTGGCTGTGGCGTGCCAGCCCTCATGCCAGTTTTTTTCCCCCTCTCTCTCTCCCCTCCCCCCACCCCCGGCAGGGCCATGGGGAGCCTGCAACAGGCCCTTGTCTGCTTTGAGAAGAGGCTGGTGGTGGCCCACGAGCTCGGGGAGGCCTTTGACAAAGCACAGGCCTACGGGGAGCTGGGCACCCTGCACAGCCAGCTGGGCAACTATGAGCAGGCCATCTCCTGCTTGGAGCGCCAGCTGGGCATCGCCCGGGAGATGAAGGACCAAGCCCTGGAGGGGAGCGCGGCCTGCGGCCTGGGCAGCGTCTACCAGCAGATGGGGGAGTATGACACGGCGCTGCAGTATCACCAGCTGGACCTCCAGATTGCCGAGGAGACGAACAACTCGGCCTGCCAGGGCCGGGCCTATGGCAACCTGGGCCTGACCTATGAGTCCCTGGGCACCTACGAGCGGGCGGTGGTCTACCAGGAGCAGCACCTGAGCATTGCGGCCCAGATGAACGACCTGGTGGCCAAGACCGCCTCTTACAGCAGCCTGGGCAGGACCCACCACGCCCTCCAGAACTACTCCCAGGCCGTCATGTACCTGCAGGAAGGTGAGTGGGACCAAGGCAGAGCGAGGCCTCTGGAGAAGGCCGGCGGGACTTCCTGAATCACGGCTGGCATCCTGTTTGGAACCCAGAAGAGCTCCGGGGAGGAGAGGCCTGGCGAGAGGGTGTGTGGGGGAGGGAGCTTTGCCACCTGGATCTGCCCCCACCCTCAAGGCAGGACACGTGTCCCTTGGTCCAGGAGGTGCCTGGGAAAGGCCCCGAGACAAGGGCCGAGCTTCCTGGGTTCCTCACGGTTGCCTCTTCCTTGCAGGGCTGAGGCTAGCAGAGCAGCTGGGGCGCCGGGAGGACGAGGCCAGGATCCGGCACGGCTTGGGCCTCTCTCTCTGGGCGAGTGGGAACCTGGAAGAGGCTCAGCATCAGGTAGGCGCCCAGACTGGAGAACCGTCGGGCCCTGCGCAAGGGGTGGTGGTAGTGGTGGTGGTGGTCTGGGGACAGCCTCTTTGGCCACTGAGCTGACCGGCTGGCCTTTCCCCCCCGGCAGCTCTATCGGGCATCGGCACTCTTTGAGAGCATCCGGCACGAGGCCCGGCTAAGCACGGACTACAAGCTGTCCCTCTTCGACCTGCAGACGTCCTCCTACCAGGCCCTGCAGCGGGTGTTAGTCAGTTTGGGTAAGACAGGGCTTAGACATCAGCTTGGGAAGGCCTGGAGTGGGGGGTCAGGGGTCAGGGTGTGTCCCTTGGACAAATCCTTCATGGCCAGGCAAAGACACGACTAGGCAGGGAGTGCTGGGAAGGGACCCCTGGGGAGCCTTGCCCTGGGGGTGACAGGGGTTGGGAAGTCTGTAAGCCCAAGGCAACCCGGGTTGGTGCCTGGGAAAGAGGGAGGGGGATGGGTGCCTGGCGCTGCCATTCGCTCGTTCCGACCCTCTGCCACCGAGTTCTCTCTCCTGCCTTTCCCATGACTTTGGAGCTGGGCAGAGAGATTGTTGGGGGGAGGGACCCATTGCTGTTGGTGGTCTGCCAACAAGTGTTTTTCCTTCCAGGGCATCATGATGAAGCGCTGGCAGTGGCCGAGAGGGGCCGAACGAGGGCCTTTGCTGACCTGCTGGTTGAGCGCCAAACCGGGCAGCAGGATGTGGACCCCTACTCCCCGGTGACGGTGGACCAGGTCCTGGAGACAGTGAACAGCCAGCGGGGGCTGGTCCTCTACTACTCGCTGGCTGCGGGATACCTCTACAGCTGGCTCCTGGCTCCCGGGGCAGGTGGGTCCAAGCAAAAGAGGGACACGGCCCCTTGGGGTGCGGGTGGGCAGAGGAACCTCCTGGGACTTTTTCTCTCCTGGGAGCGCCCACCATGCTGGGAGGAGGCGGGCCAAGGGCCCCTTGGCCCCTCAGCCTCGCGAGCGAAGCCGGCCGGCCTAGGGGCACCGACTCAGGTGTGGTGCTGCTCTGGAGCCCAGCCTGCCCACCCGCTTTCCCCTCAGCCGCGGAAAAGGCTGTCGGCTAATGAGATTCCAGACACGGTGCCTGCGCAAGAGCAACAAAGGGCCCCAGCTTAATTACATTTCTCCGCCTGGTGCTTCCCAGTGCATTTGACACGCATCCATTGAAGTGGATTCGGCAGAGCCAACGGGCGGCCCCGCTTCTCCTCTCCGTTTGATCCTTCCCGTCACCCGGCCACAAGCGAGGGAAGCCGCGTGTACGCGCACGCTCCTTTCCCAGCCACTGGGAGCAATGGGATTAGTGTGGAGAGGATCCCTTTCCACAGACAGCTGCTCTTCATTATCTCATAAAGTGAGGCCTATAATCGCAGGGCGCCCTTTCAGGGCATAATTTAATAATTGCAGCCCTTCAGCGGCACAAAGCAGAGGAGATGAAAGAGCCACGGTTCTCCTCTGGCAGCCTGGAGCCTTCTTCCAGTCTGGCTCGGAGGGCTGGAGCGGGGCCTCGGGGGATGCTGGGGGATAGTTCAAGTGCTTGCGTCTGCCCTGCACGGGGTGGAGCAAGAACTGGGGGCACTTAAGAACGAGGTAGCACAAAAAGAAAAAAAGAAAAGAAAGAAAAAAGGGAAAGAGTCCGCTCGTCCCCTATAATGCCTCGAGATCTGCCATGGGAAGCACGTGGCAACGCCGGCCCTTTGCCCTTGCAGAAGGGCAGGATTGGAGGAGGGGTGTATGCTGACCTCAGGTTATTTCTTCTGCCTGGCCCAGTGTGCCAGGTGCTGTCAGGCAGGGTGGAGGAAACCAGCCTCCTGGGTGCCCCTCGGCTGGTGCTGCCTCCTGGTGGCTTTTGAGCAAGGCGTCCATGCTGGCCTTCCACAGGAGTGGCCTGGCATCCAAAGGTGCCACAGGGCCTCCCCCCCGCCCGCTTTTTCTGCCAGTGAGAGCCGGCCCTGCTCTGGGAGGACATTCCTCGGCAGCCGTGTGTTCCCCATACGGTGATGTGTTCCTCCCTCTGTGGCTTCTAGGGATTTTAAAGTTCCACGAATGCTACCTGGGCGATGGCCTGGCGGAGACCTCAGGGGACTACCAAGAGAGCAGTGCCAGCCTTCAAACGGTCACCAGTTCGGCTCTGGAGCAGCTCAGCGCTAGTGTGCGGGAAGCCCTGGGGGTGGATTCCTACTATGCGCGGTGAGTCTGTGCCCCTGTGTGCTGGTGTGACACAAGAGGGGCCCCTTGCCTCGGGTTTTACCCAAAGCGGAGAGGTGCCTGGGGCCAAAGACCCTTTCTCCTTGTCAGACAGACAGACAGACAGACAGACAGACAGACACACACACACACACACACACACACACACACAGCTGCCTGTCACTCTCCCTGGTGTTCTAGCCGGGAACCCAAAGGGGGGTCCCCTTGCAGCCCAGGAGCCCCTAGCAGGCAGGGGCTCTTCTGACCTCCCGGCCCCCTTCTTTTTTCTCAGCGCCTGTGCCAGCAGCGAGACTGAGAGCGAAGCGGGAGACCTCATGGACCAGCAGTTTGAGGAGGTGAACAACAAGCTCACTTCAGCCACGGACCCCACCGGCTTCCTGCGGATGGTCAGCAGGAACAACCTCTTCAACAGGTGAGGGGGCGCAGAAGGGAAACCCATGGATAGAAGCCCTCCTCGACCTCGTTGCTGCCCGGCTCTCCCTCCCCCCACCTCTACTGCGTTGGTTGTCCGTGGAATTCCATCGGGCTGAGTCGGCTGCCATAGTTGCCCGAGTCTCCTCTGATGTCGGGTTCCAGATCCGCGAGTGGGGAGGACTGGCATGGAAGCGAGGCTTGGGCAGAGAGGCGTCTTTCTGGATTTGTGGAAGGCATGGAAGCAGAAGCACTAACACAGGCGCCAGGTCTCTCCTCCTCCTCCGCCATCCCCCACACAAAACAACCTAGGAGATTTATAAAACTCACAATCAGGCCATGGAGCAGGTTTGCAGAAGCATGCATTGTCTGTGGCAGTGGGATTCTGAAAGCAAGGTCAGTCCTTGTTCTGAAAGGGAAAAAACATAATTTCACAAGAAGTTCTTACAGCTTTGCCTCCTTTGCCCACCTGAAACATTCAGAATTCTCTACTGGGAGAAAACCGGGAAGCTGTTACTTGAGGAAAGCCTATTCCCCCCCCCCCACTAGACTTTGTGTTTTGTGGGGAAGTAAGTGCAGTCCTTCTGCCGGCTGGTTGCTTGGTCAGTTGCAGGCCACTGGCCACACTGGTCTGCCGACAAATGGGAAGAAGGGGAACAGCTGTGCCAGCTGACGCAGAGACTGTTACAGAGCAAAGAGGATGCTTGTGTGTCTTCACTGTGGACCATGTGTTCATAGATGCAACCAAAGGCGCTGCCTGAGGCTGATTGAAGCCCACATGCCCAGTAAGGTCAGAGGATTGCAGTGCAGTTGTGGAGAGGTGCTGCCCCCTGCTGGTGACTCTGGGGCCTTGCATCCTCCTCCTCCTCCTCCGTGCATTTCTTCTCTTCCTTTGGCCCACCTTCCTTTCTGTGCAGAAGAATAAAGATGCCCCCCCAGGGAGTGGCTGTCTGAAACTGCTCCAAGTGCCCCAGTTCCAGTGGAGATTTGTGGGGTCTGGGAAGGGGAAAGGGGTCTTGGTTTCTGCCGAGCTGCATGGGACAAAGAAGAGGACTGCCGGGAGGGTGCCCTGGGGCAAATGGGTGGACTCTGACCCCACTTGGACTCCTGGAGCTTCCCATGCTGCTTGCCTGAATACGCTTTTTTCTTCCACGGATGCCCGGGATCTCCCAGGAGCCACTAGGTCAGGGAGTGCCATTGCTAACTAGCTTGGTGACAGCCATGCAGATGCCACAGGTAGTGGGCTGTGGTGGCCTGGCCTGGTTCCTGGAGAAACGGTCCTGGCAGCAAGCAGGACTCTTGCCCCCAAGCCCAAGTTCCTACCCACTCCCATTGCATTTTTGTGGGCAAAACACACTCCCCCCATCCTTTCTTCTGTCCATATGAGCGAGGCTCCCCAGGAACGGCGGCAGAGTCCCCACTTCGGCTGGGTTCTTTGGAGACACTGGAGTGGGTGCACCAGGCTGGCAAATCAAGGGACGTCCAGGGTACGGTGGGGTTTTTGGCCCTGTGGGCTGCCTGATCTTGCTTCCCTTCCTGCCGTTGTTGAGCTGGTGCCCTGCTTTTGTGTTTCCTTTCCATAGGAGCTGCCAGAGCATGAGCAGCCTCTTCAGCGTCCCCATGTCTCCGGCAAAGGAGCTGGCCACCTCCTCGCTGCCCCGGCGGTCCAGCTCCTTCAGCAAGCCCCCGCTGCGTGCCCTCTATGACCTGCTGATTGGACCCCTGGAAGGGGTGAGTGGTGGGGAAGAGGGAAGGCTGTCCTTGTCCGGTGAGGGTGGTGGCAGGCAGGTGTGGTGTCACACACTCAAAAAAAGGCTACTGAGCACCTTGTTGGGACAGGAAGGTGGGGCAAAGGATGCCTCTGCTGGGAAAGGGTGCTCTCAACCCCAGGGTCCAGCCTTTTGGCCTGGCACAAAACTGGGTGTCCCCGCCATTTCATGAGCCCAGTGGGTTCTTTGACCAGGTCTTTGTGGAGGGCTTGGGTGGTGGGTGGTGGCAAAGAGGGGTGGGGAGTGTTCTTGCCTGCTGGCACCTTTTAGTGGTCTGACTTTGCCTTAAGGAAGGGCATGGCTTAGGTACTCCTGTCCAGATCAGAAACTGAGGGAACTGCCTTGGCCTGCACAGCGCTGGCTGTGTAGCTCTGAAGAGACCATGCCTGGCAGTGCCTTGTTAGGAGGAGGAGGAGGAGGCGAGGGGAGAGACCCATTCAGAGACACTTAGTCTGGAACGCGTGCCGTTTCCTTTGCCACTGGCCTGGCCTGGGCTTCAAGGCTGTGCAAGAGGTGATGTCTCCTTCACCACTGTGACCTCCATCTTTCCAGGCAGGCGGGGGCGAGGCCTTTCCCTTATCCTTCCTTCCAGCCTGAGGCCGAGAGCTAACAATGCACCCTTCGGCTGTTGAGTGAGGAGATGGTGTGGTGGCAGGCCTGTCCTTTCCCATCTGGCCAATTCCCTTGCATGACAATGAAACCAGCCGGCGGTCAGTTCTGCTGGCAGATGCCAGGGCGGCTTAAAGAGCCCAGCCAAGGCTGGCGGGCAAGACGTCACAAGGAATCTGCATGGAAGAGTCCCTGGAGAGAAGAGAATGTGTGCAGGCATGCATGGAGACACACAAATACACACCCCCTGCAGGCAGCCTGGCCTGTCGGTGTGTGTTCTGTGGCAGGCCAGCAGACAGCTTCATGGTTGGAAGGGCCCTTGAGAGGCTCCACAGATGTGTTACCAGGCCTGGGCATCTGTCACACTTGAGAACAATATGTCAGGGCAAAGCTGCCCTTCCTCTTCCGAAGGCTCCCGTATGTGCAGGAGAGATGATGGCAGTGCTCGTCACATGCCTGAAAGGCTGCTGTGCCAAAATGGAGCCAGTGGGGAGAAGCCAGCCAAGCTGGCTGCTGAGAAAGGAGGTGTGCGGGTTTGTGTGTGTGCCCCCTCTGGGAGGGCGCACAGACATTGGGAGGACGATCGTTCTTGCCAAGGGCTGCTGCCATCTGTTCCTGGCGGACAAAGGCTGATGCTCTGGCCCATCGGAACTGACCCTCCAGACACACCCTGAGCTCCTGTGAGGAAAGGCAGGCTGCTGGTCAAATGTGTCTGTTGCGTCAGTCATTCCTGGCTGAAGGCTAGGTCAGATGGGGTCGCTGAGAGCACGTACACGAAGAGATGCAAGGCCGGGACTCCCACCCGGGCCCGAGCAATGGCCGACTTGGAAGTCAGAAGAGTGTTGTGTCCCTGGGGGCAGGCCACCTCGTCCTCTCTTCTCCCTGGCCTCTGAACTTACACATACTCACTCTCGCTCTCCCTCCCCCAAATGCCTTCTGCTCCAGGGTTTGATGCACTCCAGTGGCCCAGTGGGCCGTCACCGGCAGCTCGTCCTGGTGCTGGAAGGGGAGCTCTACCTCATCCCCTTTGCTCTCCTCAAGGGCAGTTCCTCCAACGAGTACCTCTATGAGCGCTTCTGCCTCATCGCTGTGCCCTCCATCCGAGCCCTGAATGCCAACACCAAGGTAGGGAACGTTGCTCCCTCATTCTCTCTCTGTGCCCTGGGGGGGGGGCTGGTGGAGTGGGCCCTATATGTGGCTGCCATGAGTCGAGAGTTACACACACACACTACCAGCCTACAGGAAGGTTGAGGTGTTAGGGCCACTGCCCGAAGGGCTGATGGAGCCCTCGCCGGATGCCAAAGCAAGGGCCCGGCCATGTCCAGAACTGGCCACAGACTCAGGAGCAGCTGAGAGGACTGAGGGATGGGGGTAGTGTGTGTGTGTGGGGGGCAGTGCCCTTTCAGGGCAAGGGAAGCCACAGCTCGACGGGGCGTCCTCTTTTTTCCTCCTCCAGACCCAGGCCAAGAAGAACCTCTCTTCCTATGGGAGTTCCCCCTCTATGGCGGCTGTCATCGGCAACCCCAAGTTGCCCCCCTCCGTGATGGACCGGTGGCTGTGGGGGCCCATGCCCTCGGCCGAGGAGGAGGCCTATGCTGTGTCTGAGCTGCTTGGCTGCCAGCCCCTGGTGGGCAGCCTGGCGACCAAGGAGAGAGTGATGAGTGCCCTGGCCCAGGCGGAGTGTGCCCACTTTGCCACCCACATCTCTTGGAAGCTGGCAGCTCTGGTCCTGACACCCAACACCGAGGGTGTCGCCTCGGGGGCCGGTGCTGGCGGTGGCAAAGGCTCCTTGGGGAACTCGTACACCATCCCAGAGTCTCTGCGTATGCAGGACGATGCCAGTGACGTGGAAAGCATCTCGGACTGCCCACCTCTGCAGGAGTTCCTGCTCACAGCTGCTGATGTGCTGGACCTTCGCCTGCCGGTCAAGCTGGTGGTCCTGGGCTCCTACCCTGAATCCAACAGCAAGGTCACCGCCGACGGGCTGATCGGGTTGACCCGGGCCTTCCTGGCAGCCGGAGCCCACTGCGTCCTGGTGTCTTTGTGGCCCGTGCCGGTGGCTGCCTCCAAGATGTTTGTTCATGCTTTCTATGCCGCCCTGCTCAATGGGCTCAAAGCCAGTGCCGCCCTGGGGGAGGCCATGAGAACCGTACAGAGCAGCAAGACCTTCTCGCACCCCTCAAACTGGGCAGGTGAGACGACGGCAGCAGAGCTGGCTGTGCTCCTCGCCTTTGCCAGGAAGGGCTAGCTTTGGCCCTTTAGTGTGCGCCCTCCTGGAGCAGAGGGGAAAGAGGGACGCAGCATACTGTGCCCACCTGAAAGATACAATAGAGTTAGGCACGAGCGAGTGGGCGAGCAGACCGTTCAGGAGAGGGAGGCTGCTCTCCAGGGTTGCATGGCCTGAGCTGGTGCCACCCTAACCCTTAAACTAGCCCGTCCGTCCTTCCAACCCAAACTTGTTTTCAACAAAGTGGGCTTGTTCCCCTCTTCTGAGAGGAGAGTGACCGTGGCTCCTGCTTCTCCTCCTGCAGGCTTCACCCTGATTGGGAGCGACGTGAAACTGAACAGCCCATCATCACTGATTGGGCAAGCGCTGACAGACATCCTACAGCATCCGGAGCGGGCCCGCGATGCCCTGCGAGTTCTCCTGCACTTGGTGAGAGTGCAGCAGTGGCACCAAGAGGGGAGATGGGTCAACGGGGTGGAGACTGAAGGAGCAAAGGCTGTCCTGGGCCAGCTTCAAGTCCACGCAGGCCTCTGGAGCCTTGCTCTAGCTTGAGATGGCAACGGGGTGTGGGAGGAGAGGAGAGCTCACTCCGTCCTTCTCCTTCCGTAGGTGGAAAAGTCCCTGCAGCGTATCCACAGTGGGCAGCACAACTCCATGTACACCTCCCAGCAGAGTGTGGAGAACAAGGTGGGGGGCATTCCCGGCTGGCAGGCGCTGCTGACGGCAGTGGGCTTCCGCCTAGATCCCCCGGCCAGTGGCCTTCCGGCGGCCGTCTTCTTCCCCACTGCGGACCCTGGAGACCGGTTGCAGCAGTGCAGCACCACTATCCAGTCCTTGCTCGGTGAGTGTTGGAGGGGGTGGGTCCTCTGGCATCCAGCCCCTGGAAGAAGTACCCAGGACTGGAGGTGGGTGGCATCCCAGGGAATGACTGGCCCCTCTGCTTCTCCCCCCCGTCGCTGGCAGGTTTGCCCAACGCTGCTCTGCAGGCGCTTTGCAAGCTCATCGCTGCCTCTGAAACTGGGGAACAACTCATCAGCCGGGTGAGTGAATGCCAGCCATGGCTGTTTAGGTGGGGGTGGGGGAGGTCCCACACCTGATCTGGGTCCCAGAGGGGACTTTCCACCTTCCTTCCTTCCTTCCTTCCTCCCCACACTTAACATGCTGAAAATGGACACCTTTAGCTTGCTGCTGCTGCTGCTGCATTGCACCCAAACTTGGCTCTAAACGCATCTCTCTCTCTCTCTCTCTTTCTTTCTCCCTCTCCCCTACCACTCCTCCTTTTTGCTTCCCAAAGGCTGTTAAAAATATGGTGGGAATGGTGAGTATGGGACCCTCCTCCTCCACCACTTGTCCTGCAAGGCATGAGGGACAGGACGGGACAGGGTCAAGGGTGTGTGTGTGTCTCCTCCTCTCCAGTTGTCTGAAGCCCGTGTTGTTCCTCCTAGAGCAGCTGGTGGGGTGGGGTGGGGTGGAAGGCATTGCGTTGCTCTGTTCCTTCCCTCCCTGGGGGAACCTCATGGTGCCCATCACGTTGCTTGCACTGGACCCACCTGCACATGCTAGAGTCCTTCCTTCCTCCCCTCTTCTTATTTTCACGGGCAGCTTCCAGGGTGGAGGAGGAAAGGGTGGAGGTGTTGTGCTGGCCTGACTCTGACTGGCGCTTTCCCTTTAGCTCCATCAGGTCTTGGTGCAGCTCCAGGTTGGAGAGAAGGAGCAAGACTTCTCTTTGGCCCCGATCCAAGTGTCCATTAGTGTCCAACTGTGGCGTCTGCCGGGGTGCCACGAGTTCCTGGCAGCTCTAGGTAGGACCCTTGGGCATTGGGTCAGGCATCAGCTGGGTGGGGGAAAGGGTGGAAGGAACAGGTGCTCACCTTATTCTCCCCATTGCCCTTCTCATCAGCACCCCTCTGTCCTCTCTGGGTCTGGGCAAAGGCTGCCCCCCCCCCGAATTGAGCTGAACAGGGTGACCCTCTGCCTGAGCAGTGGCACTGAGTCCTGTGTTGCTTGCAGGCTTCGATCTGTGTGAAGTTGGGCAGGAGGAGGTGATCCTGAAGACAGGCAAGCAGGCCAGCCGCCGGACGATGCACTTTGCCCTCCAGACCTTGCTGGCCCTTTTTGGTGAGTCTCTGGTCTGGCCATTCTTGGCAGCTGGGCTCTTTGGGGATGTGCCTGGTCAAGTGTGTGTGGCAGGGGCCGGCTAGAGCTAGAGAAGCAGGGGCTCCACGTTGTCTGAGAAATTACTCTGAATGGTTTCTTTCTCTGCCTCTGCTTCCTGCAGACTCCACAGAGCTGCCCAAACGGCTGAGTTTGGACAGCTCTTCCTCCCTCGAGTCGCTGGCCTCGGCTCAGTCGGCCTCCAATCCTGGCCCGCTTGGCTATCAGAACCCCCCGTTCTCCCCGACATGTCCCGACAGCCTGGCTTCCGATGCCATCTCCGTGTACAGCCTCAGCTCCATTGCCTCCTCGGTCAGCTTTGTCTCCAAGCCTGAGGGCCTGTCAGAAGCAGGCAGTTCCCGCGGGCGGCAGGACTTGGACAGGACCAAGAACCCCTCCTATCTGCAGAGGTCTTGCGTGCCACACGGCCAGTTCTCGCCTCAGAGTGGCACTGGCCCAGGCAAGGAGGAGGAGGAGTATGAAGGTTTCTCCATTGTCAGCAACGAGCCACTGGCAACCTATCACGAGAATAGACGGATGTGCTTTTCCCCCGACCAGAAATCTTCCCGGACTCCTCAGGCTGGAGGACTGAAAGGTTCTGTCAGTTGCAAGGGGAGCATCAGTTCCCCCAACTCCCCGGTCAAGATGACGCTCATTCCTAGCCCAAACTCCCCGTTCCAAAAGGTTGGGAGACTGGCAGGCTCAGACACTGGTGAATCGGACCAATCAAGTACCGAGACGGACAGCACCGTCAGGTCCCAGGAGGAAGAGAGCAACCTGAAGCTTGACCCTCAAGAGCTGGCCCAGAAGATTCTGCAGGAGACGCAGAGCCACCTTCTAGCCGTCGAGCACCTCCAGCGTAGTGGGGGCGGTAGCCACCTCAGCAAGAGTGGCAGTTTGGACGGCGGAGCCGTGACACCCACTGGGTCGTCTTCCTTCCGATCCTCTGAGACCAGCGCCTTCAGCCGGCCGCTGTGCTCGGTCTACAAAAGCCACCCTTCCCCGTCTCCCACCCCCCTGAAACCAAAACCTCCCACAAGAAGTTCCTCGCTGCAGAAAGTCAGCTCCGGCTACAGCAGCCCCACAGGCTCCTCCTCCGAGGGGCCTGCCAAGGAAGGCGCGAGCCCCCACAGCAGCCAGCCTTCCCCCAGTTCTGACTTTCACGGCTCGGGGCAAGAGCAGCCTCTCTTTCGGCTCAAGTACCCCAGCTCTCCCTACAGCACGCACATTTCCAAATCACCCCAGAACATCTCCCCGAGCTCAGGGCACCATTCTCCGGCGGGCAGCACCCCGTCCCCTGCCCTGTCCTACTCCTCTGCCAGTTCATCCCGTTCCAGCCCCGCTGACGCCCCAACCCTCGACAAACTCAAGATGGCGGCGATTGACGAGAAGGTGCAGGCCATCCACAACCTGAAGATGTTCTGGCAGAGTGCCCCGCAACATTCCACGGGTCCCCCAAAGGCCGCCGGCAACTCTGGAGGAAGAGGCCCCTCCAGGAGAGACGTCCTGAGCTTGCTGAACTTGTCCCCTCGGCACAGCAAGGAGGAAGGCCGTGACAGGCTGGAGTTGAAGGACCTGTCTTCTCCTCACCCCCCCTCTTCCCTGCAGAGGAACCCCCCCAATGGACACAGGCGCCAGGGGGGAGCCCTGACTCCCTCCCCCTCCCCCCTCCCCAACAGCACACCAGGTTCTGGGCACCCTGTACGGATGCCCTCTGGGAACGGTTACAAGTTCTTGTCGCCAGGGCGGTTCTTCCCGTCCTCCAAGTGCTGAAGTTTCTCTTGAACCACTCATTTGTTGGATGGTGTGAAGTTTCTGGGCCTTCTTCCTGCCCACCTGCCTGAATGATACAGAATGTTGGAAGACACGCCGGGGAACTGGAGGTTTGTGTCCAGCAAAATGCCTGGGCAGAAGCAGGCCGCCCTGTGGATGTGTGGCAGCTCCCCTGCCCTGGGGTGCTGGATGTGGGCATTGAGGACAGGTGGGCTGGCATGGGGGGGTGTCCCACCAGGAAATGCACACAACTTGCCACGAGGAGAGGTACAAGCCATTTTCTTGATGCTTCCAGCAAGGGCTGTGGAGAAGGAGCAATTTTAACAGCAGTGCTTCTCCTGGTAACCAGCCCACAAACTTGGTGGTTTTGTGGGCAGAGGGGGCTGAAGCTGGGGCTGCTTTCCTGGGGGTGCCTCAAGACAGCTGTTTCTGAGCTGGCTTCCTGGGACAGGGAGCGGGTTCTTGTTGCTGGAAAAGGGGAGACGGCAGGCTCCGTCTTTGGCAAAGGTGGGAGTGCCCTCTCCCCTGCCACTCTGTTCTTCTGTCCTGTAAATGGAGGAGGGGTTGTTCAGGTGTAGATAAGATACCAAGCATGTCTCCCTCTCACCTACCAGGTGGGTGGGGTTTGCAACATCCTGCTCCCCCCTCCCCAGGGTTGAAGCCTGACTTCAGGCACCAAGTCCCAAGCACAAAAGCCAGCTCCCTCCCTCCCTCCTGCCTGCCTCAAAGCCAGAAGGTGTGTCTCTGTGCGGGAAGCTGCACTCCTTGCTGGCACGAGAAGTTAGAGGAGAGGCTGCCATCCACTGGTGTGTCCTTCCCTTTCCTCACACCTTCATTGTGCAGCTCGAGGGTGGGGAGGAGCATCAAGGAGAGTGGAGGATGATCCAGTTAAGAGAGGAATTCCTAGAGCAGCCCCACCTACCATGGGCTTCAGGCCAGGAAATGTAGCAGGAGCCCTTGAGGGAAATGACTCCAGGAGCGCCTGGAGGGTGGGAGGGAAAGGGCTCTGCTCCTCTTCTCTAGACCTTCTGGGTTGCTCTACAGCTTTTGGCGGTCTCCCATCTTCTCTGCCTTGGCCAGCACGAAAACCCTTTCCCTGCAACTCATAGGCTCTCAGGATTGCTTCAGAGTCACCTCCTGCGCCAGACGTGGAAAGAACCTCGTGCAGCAGCTCTGAGGCCTTTGCCAGGGGTTGCAGAACTGTTCTTGGGACTGGCTGCCAGTCCTTTTCTAGCCTATGCAAAGTCACTCTGTAGACGACCAGGAGAGACGTCCAGGCTGGGCTGGGCCTCCACCCACGGCCCTCTTCTTCTACAGAGCTGCTGTGCTTCCTTCCTTACCACTGGAACCTACATCAATTGGTGCTTTCCAGGGCTGCTCCAGGTGCCAGTCTGTGGCTGCCTCTTTTCCTTGGCGATGGCTCCCACTGTCCAGAAGGGAAGAAAGTGCTCCCAGCGCCTTTTCCTGTGGGGCACAGAAGTCTCTTCGGCTTTGCATCACTTGTTTGTTAGAGCTTGTTGCCCTCCACACCCATCTCCATGCCTTCTTTGCCTTTCCAAGTGAGGGAAATGAGAACTTGCCAGGTTTGTGGGCAAATTCAGGAAGCCCCTTCCCCCTCCCCTCTGTCCCAACCTGTTTGTCATCCTCATTGTCGTTGTCTTTGTGCATGTACGAGTGACAACACTGCTTCTCACAGTGAGCAATAAGCGTTAGGTGTGATGGCCTGCTCTCACCCAAGTTCTGTCACTTGCAGATCCCCCTTTGGTTTGGCTTTGCCCTGCAAAACGTTTTTTTTCCCCCTGGAGACAAGCAGCCTTGAGCTGCCACATGTCAGGCTGGCTAGAAACCACACCGCTGGGCTTTGCCTGCCTGCCTGCCTGCCTAGGGCCCTTGTTTCCGCAAGAGTCACACTGGGACACTGAAAAACAGGGAGAGGGCCCCTAAGGCCTGCCCTCCTCCCAGGTGCTTGTCTCCCTGGGGACCTGAAGAGTCACCCATCTGCTCTGCCTCCAGCTCAAGCCAACTTGTGAGGTAGTGGGGCTTTGTTCACAGGAACGGGGAGAACCTTCTCGCCCCACCCATTCAAAAACCACTCCTCTGCACTCTCCCTTCTTTATGCAGCATTTGCCGTGTTTGGCCTCTACGGACTTTTTTGTAAATTAAAACTCAGTTTCCAGACAGCATTAAACTTTTTTATATTATGAGGTTTACCCTGTAAAAAGAATTTCCTATTTTTATTGCAATTGCTAAGGCATTTGGCCTCTTCCTTTGTGATTTCTGTGTCTATTAAAGCATGAAATCTCTCAGTTCCTGGCTCTTTGGTCCGTGGCATTGAATGACCACCCCTCTGGGACAGGTGGCAGCAGGAGTAAGTGGAAAGATTGCTTCTGGGGTTACCATACCAGTAGGAAGACGGGAGCTTCCCTCTTTGGCATCAGTAATCCAGGTGCAACCCCATGCTGAACCCCAAAGTGCTTGCAGTTGCATCTGTTCACAAGACCCTTGCCCCTTGTTTCTTCACACTGGCAGTGCAGAGGAGTTTGTAATTCCCAGAGGATGTTGTCCCAAATTGCAGAGGGGTTGTGCCTGAGGCTATCTTTGCACCAGGTTATTAGCCTTGCCATGCTACCAGAACAGGTTTGAGCGGAATGTGACCCCTGATGACAAAGAAGTCAGGGCAAAGAGCACATTTGTAACCACAGATCCTGGACTCCCCGTGTGCACCTACCTTGATCTTGAAACATGGGACTGCTGACGCCTTTGAACAACAGCATCTTCACGCCTGTTCCACAATGTAGGATGAAGGTCTCACCGCTATTACAGAGCTTCCTCAAAATTAAAAGGTAAATAGCATGTTAAAGCAAAGGCACGTAGCTGAATGCAGTTTTTGGGGAGGGGTTCAGTACAGCCTTTCCACTACAAACCACCTCCTGCAAATCTGCAGCTGAGCGGCTAGTCCTTTCCTTTCCCCCCTCATTTCCCAATAGCCTGAGGGACAATCTGAAGCCACCAGTTGCTGCAAGTTAGACTCTCTTGTGTTTCGTACAGCATCCATAAGCCTGTACTTGCTCTGATGTAGCCTCCAGACAGTTTTTGGACCTACGTACAATTTATTTTGGCTCCCTGCTCCTTCAAAACAGTGAGCTGGTGGGCACAGAGTACTTTTCTCTAGAAAGCTATTTCTGCCAGTCAGGTTCATGCAGACATAATCTACATGCAGGCAAAATAAAATGCAATTAGCAAAGAATAGAAAAACAGATTACTGTATTTCTGTTAACAAAATTAATCCTCTGTCCGACCTAGGGCTGTGTCTAACAACTTCACAAGCATGTGAAATGGAATAAGGGACACTGAAATTTATAAAGCATAATCAGCCTTGTATCTTAATTACTAGCTTTGTTTTCTGAAGTAACGGGGAAATGGAAATTAATTAAACGGTGCTTTCTGTCTTCTAAAAAGGCCAATGAAGTGCAGGTGGCTTCTGGCTTGAATATCAATGTTTTGAGCCATTTCCCACAACATAAAAGGCTATAGTCTCCAAATTGATATTAATGAATTGAGAAGTAGTAAACTTTTCAACTGTGGGGAAATGTGAAGGCAAGAGGAGAAGGGGACGATGGAGGACGAGATGGATGGACTGTCATCGAAGCAACCAACATGAATTTGACCCAACTCCGGGAGGCAGTGGAAGACAGGAGGGCCTCGTGTGCTCTGGTCCATGGGGTCACAAAGAGTCAGACACAACGACTAAACAACAAAGAAAAGGTTAATATCTGTAATGGCATGCTTGCTGGATCAAGCTGCCCTGTGAGTACAAAGTGTAGCTTAAGCATCAGAACAAGAAACCCACACAAGAAACAATCCCAAAAGAACAGAAATTCATTCATTTATTTAATTTGTGTCCTGCTCCCATGAGTATCATGGCACTACTGGTGGGTTACAATATATATAACAGAAAACAAAAATAGAAACATTAAAAACAGCAATAATAATTAAAAACAGATGGCACCGATTGTCTAAAGCCCATCAGCTGCCACACTGACTGTGCTGTGGTTCCTTCCTCACCATCTGTTCCCAGCATCCTTTCTAAAAAGGGACACGAGTTTGTGGAGCGAAACTGGCAAGAAACCCAGCTGTGACTGTGCCCTTTGGAGCTTGAGGGGCAACCTGCCAGCCGCCAGTAGCTTACGTGCTCCCAAGGCTGACACCGGTCATCCCTTCCGCCACGCGCCCTCGTTAGAAGGGCAGCCAAGCCTGACCTAGCATTCTGTTCACACGGCAGCTGCCCGAATGGTCAGACGCACACGAGAGGGTCAGCATCCTCCGGTTTGCAAGACCTCGGGAGCCGGAGGAAGGAGGAGTCTATCTCGTTAGTACCTGTAAGATAGCAGCGGCTGTCCTGGGCTCTACTTGGACAACCAGTTTCCCACCGTCCCTTGATGAAGGCGGGTGGGCGGGGGTGCCTGGAGCTAATAGGAACTGCAAAGCGACACCCCCCCCCCCCACAGCTTCTCTTCGCTACCTCCAACCGACCCAAGCCTAGTACCGGAAGAAGGGAGGATGTAGCACCAACGGACCGGAGCCCCTGCAGCCGGCATAACGGTCGCACTTAAAAACCGGAAGCCGCTCTAGGCCGACACATCCCCGTTGTCGTTGAGGACTACGGTAGACTTAAGAAGAAAGAGCGGCGAAAGGGGTGGCTCTTCCGAGTCCGCGACGGAAAGAATCCACGCCCAGGAAACACACTCGCTCTTTGCTCACGCGGGGCCACAGCGACGGCTCGGGAGAGGGGCGCGCTCGCCTTGTCAGACCTGAGCTCATCCGGATCCCCACGGCAGCGTCCCTTCATAAAGGGCTCTTCGGTGTCACACACCCCGAACTGAGGAGCCAGTTTCGGTCGCTGCTTCCTTTGGCAGCTCCGCCGCGGACAAGCCTCCCGCATGGGAGGGGGAGGAGTCTCCTGAATTGTAACCCTGCAGGGTCGTGCTGGTTTCCGCCCGTGGGTGGCAATAGGAAGTCGCCCACTCAGACGCAGAGTCTCACGGCCTCTTCACCGCGGTGATCTGGAGGGCGGTACTTCCGCCTGTGAGTCACAGTATCCACTCTCGGTCTCTGCGGTGCAGTTCTGGTCCGGTCAAAGGGCGGGAGCGGGGCGCCATGATTGGCTGGGAGGCCAAGCAGCGAGTCGTGGCATTGGCTGGTGAATATGACCCGGCCGTTCTCCCGCCCGATGAGTGGTTACGACGGGACGCAATGGATGGGCGGAAACCCAATCTCCCAGGTACAGCTTCGATTGGCTGGCTAGAATGAAGAGGTGGGGCGCAGAGGTCCAGAAGCACAACGACGATTGGATTCCTTTTAAGGAAGGGTGGGCCTGAATTCCCGGAAGTCCCTTGCGAAGTGGTTTGTGGGTAGGTGGTGCCGGTTGCGCCTGCGCGTTAGGCCTTTGCCTGCGGGAAGATGGTGCTCATCAAGGAATTGTGAGTCCCGGGTCCGAAATGGAGCTCCGGTCGCGCCGCCGTTTCTTTCCTAGGTCGCCCGACACCGACGCCGAGCGAAGCCACCCGGGTCGCTCCCTCCGCACTCTGCTGCTGCAGCTGTCGCTGCTGCACGTGGTCCTCTGGCGGAGCCGGGAGGCGCCGGCGACGGGCGCCCTGCGTTTCCGGGCTGGTGGCCGTGAGCGATTCCCAGTCCCCGCTGGGCTGGCTTCTCTCTTTCCTGCCCGGCACGTCGGGCCCTTGGTCCGCCTGGCTCGGCCTTCGTTGCACCGGCTGGCAAATTTCGCTGATTGGCCGCCTCCGGGTCTCCCAGCTCTGTTCGCGGTGTTGCCGGGCAGTGAACTTGGGACCTTCCGTGGGGAAGGCCCGTGTTCAGCCCCGGCGCTCCGTTTCCTTCCTTCCTTCTCCTTACTCTGCCCCAGCCCCCAAGGATCTTCAAGCCCGAACTGGGTTGAGGAGATTTGGGAGACGGTGTAGTTGAAGGGCTTTATAAACTTGGGCAGAAAGGAGTGTGGCTCCTTTCCGGCCCAAAAGCAGAAGCAGGGAGAGTATGACTCAGGAGGAAAGTTTGAATCAGGACCTAACGAAACCAGCGGCGCCTCCTCGGTTGTTTTCGTTTCATGTAGCTTTGCTTCTAGGGAGAGGTGCGGGGCCAGTTGCTCTGGGTCCCCCATCGGGTTCGGGTGTTCTCCTTGGTTCGTCCTGTTTGAAGAGCATTTGCTCTCCTCCTTTTCTTGACAACGCTTGGAACTTCAGTCTTTTTCTGTCATCAATCTCGGGGACGGGTGGGGGCAGCGGAGTGGATTGGCTTGGTAATGATGATGTGGTCACTTTAAAGCTCTAATTGAAGAATGGATTTGCCGGCATGTTGAAAGTATGGAAGACAGTTAAAGGTGACCTTTCTAGCCAGAACTGAGATGTTTTCAAAGTAATTTCAAGTCTCAAGCATTTGAGACTCATTTTGATGGATCTGTTCCAGAGAAAAGTTCAGCAGGATGCTTGGATATTAGTGTTTGTTGCTTCTCACAGGAGTTCTCAGCAGTGAACTGTCCTCAGGTAGCAGAAGACAGCTGAACCAAGAGAAGCAAACTTTAAAGACCCTTCCTTCAGTATCACTGACTAAGCCTATACAATAAAATCCAAACTGAATTGCTAGGGTAAAAGTCACATTTTGCCCTCAGTCTTGACGGGGCAGATCAGACTTCCTAGACAAGCGTTTGTGCAGAACTTCACTGAAATACCACAACTAGCATATAATCAGGTCAAACAAACATGAACAAAAGTGACATGCAGACCATCAGCATTTCTCTCCAACACAAGATTGCAACAGAATAATGCATTTTCCCAAATGGAACAGAAACATCTTTTTCTACCAGTATTTCTTTTCCATATGAAGTTTTTGTTCTGTCTTCAACTCTAAGTCCTCAAGGTAGACTGAACAATTAAACCTAATAAAATCCATAACAGCATAAATCACAAAATTTGTAGAAGTACAGGAATATCTGATCATAAATCTCTGGAGAGAGGATTAGCCTGTCACAGAAATAGTCAAATCCCAGTCCAGCTTATCCTTGTTGCTTCCAAAATCACTGTCATAAAGGAGTAATTATTTTTGCTGTTGCCTCATGGTGTTGGCTTTCCATGGGTGGCATGCTTAGTGAAACTGATAGTCCATGGAGGTCAGATTGCAAATGCTTCCTAGGCTTTTGTTTAATCTGTTGCAAAGTCTCATAGTCTGGTTGTGGACTCCTTGTGCAGAGTGACATGAGAGGACTTAGGAGCAAGGACAGTCAACTAGCCTTGATACCCAGTTTTATTATTACTTTTTGTTTGGCATCTGATGCCACCGTGGTGAAAACCAACTGATGAAGAGGAAAATGCTAAGTATCTTAAAAGAGAAACACTTGCAAAATTTATCAGGCAACTGTTTTATGTGGGCAAGATATATATATATCTTGGAATTGGGGGAGTCTATTTCTTGGCCCAGCACTAAGAATAGCCTTATCCTGCAAATGCACTGTGCAAAAAGGTCTTTTCTAACATTAATGCTTGGCCTTTTGTTTTTTCTTTTCAGCCGAGTGGTGCTGCCATGCTCTGTGCAAGAGGTATGTGTTTCCTGTGCCCACACTCACTCCTGCACCTGGGTCTTCCCTAGGTTTTTGTCAAGCAGAAGGCATGGTACTCTGTCACAGAGTCTCTGCACCAGCAGGGCACTGGTCCTTAGATGCTTGTAGCCAGGAAAGGCAGCAAATGTTTTTCCTGCTCTTTGAGTTGTATAGTTTTAACTGTTGGATTATCTGCTATCAACTGCCCTGGTTTTCTAGAAGGCCAAGGTAAACCAAAAAGTCCATGGCTGCCAGGCCCTGGGCCTGAGTAGGTACACTGTGGGCTCCGAAAATCAACCCAGGAGACACACCAATCTGAGGCTGGTGGGCAGGGCATGGTCTTGCTTCTGAGAACTGTGCATCCAGTGGCAGGGCTGGAGGTCACTCTGCTTTGGAAGTGAAAATTGTGGCATGCCTTAAGTTGCTGAAGCAGGCAAGAAAGAGGAAATGCAGAGCATCCTAAAAGTGGATGGAAAATGCATTCCTGGTGTGCTTCTAGGTTTCATTTGTGCTGTTCTTTCTCATAGATCCTATAAATAATGGTGTGAGGTGATAACTAGAAAAGTCAGAGGGTGCTTTTTAAAAGACATTATGCTTTGTCTTTTTCTTTTAGTATCAAGTGGGGCAACTTTATTCTGTGGCTGAAGCCAGTAAAAATGAAACAGGTGGTGGTGAAGGGATTCAAGTCTTAACAAATGAGCCTTATGAGAAGGATGGTGAAAAAGGACAATATACCCACAAGATTTACCACCTGAAGAGGTAAGAGGTTGTTCACAGGATTCTAGTTATCTTTCTGCTTCTGCATCTGAATGTTCTGAATGCTTTCTCCTTTGGCAGCTCCAAAGACACGCATGCACACAGAGACAAAATTGCCATATCTGTCTCCCATTCTTTGCATGGAATACATGTGTGTTGTCCTAAGAAATTTTGGTGCAAAAGATCTAGGTCACAGTTGGGTAAGTGCAGTGAAATGCAGTGGGTGGTAAAGACAGCCACTGCTGGCTGCTGAAACAACAGGTTGAAAAGGTTGGGTTCCCTGTCCCTGAGACTGCACAGGATCACGGTGAGGTGGGCAGAAGGGCTCTAGTTTGTACATGAAATAACACAGCTTGGTAGTGTTTGTTTCTGGGGAGTGTCTCTCACCAGCCATGGGTGGCTTCTTTGATTGTTGGAGGCATTATTGGGCAGGAAGCTGTTCATTTTAGCACCAGATTGTTTTTTGGGGGGAGTTGGAGGGGTCCCACTGCTCATAAATTTGATTGCTTCTTCTAATTTCCTGTTACTTAATTTTTGCAGTTCATCAGCGCTGAACTGCAGATAGAAGAAGCTTGTTATAGGATGTTTAACATGCTGAGGGGAGGAATGCTGTTTTGAGCAGACTGCTAAGAATGGAGCATGGACTGTCATTCATGTGATGAGACTCAAGTGCTGGTTTTCCACTCTGGTTTGTTGCAGCAAAGTTCCTGGATTTGTTCGGATGTTTGCTCCAGAAGGCTCTCTGGTATTTCATGAAAAGGCCTGGAATGCGTACCCATACTGCAGGACAAGTGAGTTTTTGTTCCCTATTCTCTTGTAGCACTGCTTTCAAGGCACACAAATAATTTCTCATTTGCCATTTCCCCAAACTGCATAGAATTGTGTACAACTGGATATCATCCAGAGCTCATCAGACTTTAATCCTGACTTGTTTTTAGTGTTTGAGGTGTCATAAAAGTTCCTTTCGTTTGTATTGAGAAACAGTAGCCACCCCAGCACATTTGGAATTGAGGGAACATGATGTAAACTGTGCCTGCCTCAGCTTGGATATTAAGTTGCAGAGACTTAAGTGCTTCATCCTGACACATTCTCAAGGAAGTGCATGTTTAGCAGCTTTGTTTGAAAGGACACATGGAATGTGTAATGGCAAGAGGGACTCCATGTTTCTTTATTGACTCCTGTTCTTGTCGACTTTGAATTAGTTTATGTGATAGGATAACTTCCTTTCTGAATCCTCACTTATTAAATTCCAGCAGGCATTTGTAATGTAGTCTCTAATGCTGCGTTATACTTGTTGTATCTTGAGAGGTCTTTATAATGCTGCTTCATTGCTACCATTTCCTGCTACATTAGTTTTGTGGTAATATATATAAAAATACAAATAATGATGAATGTATTTATTTCCCAGTAAGGAAATAAGAGAACTTCTCATCCCCCTTCACTTGCTTAGCAATCGTACCATATGGCTACCATATTATAATGAATCCACTTTTGTCTCCCTTCTCTCTCTCTTTCCATGCCTCCCCCGGTTTCAGTCGTAACAGTAAGTATCATTATTCTCTTAGCTTGTAAATGTTGGGGCTACTCTGAGACTTTATTTGTTCCTGATTGACCAGTTGATCCGTATGGAGGCATCTATTATGTTGGGTATCAGGAATGGTCCCTCTAGCTACTGTACAAGGTTTTCTAGATAATTGGGTGCTGAGGTGCATAATAGTATTTGAAAGTTTTTTCATATGCCACACTGAATCTGGATGCATGCAAGGTAGCCCAGAGCACCTAAAATAGAAAACATTGGTGATGCTATTGGACGTTGTTGCCATTTTAAGGGTGCATATCCCCCTGCCCTTAAGTGCCCCTCATGTCACATTAACAAGCCTGTGACAGTTACAGTTGAGGTCCTGGAAGGATAGTTGCTTCCAATATATGCGGGTGGGACATGTCATCTACTTCTATGCATGGGTTTGTGGAAGGTAAAGGAGTGGCCTTATGCGTGGTCCCAGTTGAAGACCTCTATAGGGCCAGGTACACAGACTGTACTGTTGTGGAAGGGGTGTCTCCCAGGAGGTTCTTGTAACCTGTTGGTCCTCCGATTTGTTTGCTAGCCTTGCAGCCTTGTCAAAGGGGTGGGGTAGAGAATCGGTGTGCCAATGTTGGGTGCTCAACTCCATCTTCTCTTACCAGTTCTTCCCAACAAATTATATCTAAAGGCACGCATTTTTATTGATACTCCAAATATTGAGAGGACTGCAGGAGAGAATGGGCAGTGTCGTTAAGAAATGTTAAGCACTGTCCCCTGCTAACTTTTCTCTTCCAGTATATACACACAGAGAGAGATTGGCCTTTTGAGGAGAATATAGAGTAGGGGCTTATGCCTTCACATCCCTCCCTGTATCTTACAAGGCTAGAGAGAAATGTTATGCAGTGCTGGAATACGATATTCAGATAAACCATATTAATGACTGCTTTATCTTTCTACTTCCAACAGAATGAATATATGAAAGATGATTTCTTCATTAAAATTGAGACTTGGCATAAGCCAGACTTGGGGACCTCAGAAAATGTAAGCTGACAAACCATATTCTGCCACCACCTGTATTGTGCACAGCCTTTGATGCTGCTGGAGAGTTTCGTCTAGGCATTGGCAATCTATATGCCAGCCAGCAGAACCAAAAATCCTTGCTTAGTTTGTGCTTCTGTCTTGTTGATACCAGAGCAGAAGTCATATCTTTATAAGCAGTGGGATAGGTTTCGGGGAACAGGCACCCATTCCAAAAGAAATGTTCATCAGACCAAGCAGATTGGTTTTTTTCCTACAAGGCACAGGGGAAAATCAAACTCTGGGCCGATGGAGTTTTCTCTCTTTCCCACAGGTGCATGAGTTGGACCCAAATACGTGGAAGAGTGTTGAAGTTGTCCACATTGACATTGCAGACAGAAATCAAGTGGAGCCAGGAGTAAGTTCACCTTGTTTTCTCTCTGTGTGTATGTTTTTTAATCTGGCTAGACAGCAACATGGTATAGTATGCAAATAAATGTTATTTGCTGGGTTGCTCAAATAGGTTTGTGACAGCATATGTATAAATCATGATAACAAGAAGGTTCTTTTTCCCCCATTAGAAGCATCCATTGAGATGCTTAGCATTGCTGTACTAGGCTGGCCTGCATGATCCTGCTGTTTTAACACTACTTTTGTGTCTCAGGGGTACTATCTCTCATTTCTTGACTTTTGCTGGCTTCATTTCTGAGACTTTCATAGTTGTGTTTGGTCTCCTGGCCAGAAAGGGGATTTGTGGGTATATGGATGCACCATTTCCTCTATGGGGAATTTCAGAACTCATTCTAAAAATGAAATACAGCTTTCTGGTAACTTAAATAGAACAGTCCACGTTAAGCAGAATGTCATGCCTCAGTTTTCATTTTCAGTCTGTGTTGCATGATAGATGACTCACAGTGACTTGGTTGGAACTCACAGGGAGGAGTTTTTGGAGCTAGATGCAGTAGTGCCTGATGAAATAATGTGATGGCACTCTCTTCATCTCATTCCTGCTTGGTAACTGGAATTCTCCATTCTTAGCCATATTGGTTTCAGTGTAAAGCTAAAATTTTGCATTTGGAAGAGGCGGTGACTCCTAAGCACAGTGGGATACAGAGAGTAAGGTCATGTTGTGCAATCCCAGTGATTAGAGCTTTGTCTCCTTAACTAGCTGAGGACAGACCTTTGATGTTGCCTTGTATCCATTTCATCGGCCAATTTCTTCCTCATAGTCTATGCAATGTTTTGCAATACTTGTGATGTTCTGCTTTTAGTTCCTGTGTTGGTTCAGAAAGGAGATATCTTGGTAGAAAAGGCCTTTCCTGTTGCTTTCAATGACTAGTTATTTTATAGTTGAGAGAATACATGCTGTCTTTGCTAAATTATGTGTATTCCTTGCAATTGTAAGCTTGACTGCAAAGGAAACAGATAACCTTGTGAATGAAGCAGGGGGAGATTGCTCTCCAGCTGCTTATGCTCATGTTAAGTTAAACTTTTGGCCTTGGTTTTGAGTGAACCTTGGCCAAACAATTCTAGCGTGGCAGTTCTTTTTGTTTCAAAATTCTGATCAATAAACAGCCAGGCTCCAAACCAGGCATCCTCCTGAAGGTCCTAATGAAACTCAGATGCCAGCCTTGTGCCTTTTGAAATGTATACAAATGATTCAGCTGACATCTGCTGCTTTCTTAAGGTATAAATTTAAACCTGGCTCCTTCTAATCATCTCCAGAGCTTTGTCTAAGCAGTTTTATGTGATTTGTATACAAAAGTCACATCCCTGGAGAGGAGGAATCTTCAAAGTGTAAGCAGAAGGAGACACACAATTTGCTACAGAAAAGATTGCACTTTTGGAACTGATTTGGAAGAAAATAAGCAGAGCAAACACACAAGATTGAAGTCAGCTTTGTAACTCTCTCTCTCTTTCTCTCGTGCTGAGAAAGGATGTGAAGTGCAGATTGCTTTGCATTCTTCCTGCTCTGTTCTTGTTGGCTTTCTTGTATTATCTCCATGGTTGTTAGTCCTGGGTGGGCCAGCACACAGGGTTTAGCCACCGTCATCCTCTCTCTTGGGTGGGGTGTGACGCTAGGAGTATGGTTGAAAACACACATCTATGAGTAAATTGCACTAGATGCAGTGTGATTTAGTTGTAGGTACACATTCATTCAAAGCCATGCAATCTCTTCTCAGGAGTCATTGCCCAAAGATGGTGCCCCAAGTCCTTCTCCTCCCCCCCCCCACACACACACTTCAGGTTTTCTCTTGAGTCTTCACAGAATAGTCTGTCTCTTTTTTATTTTGATTGAGAGTATGTGCTGCTCTTTAACAAAGGGGCTGAAATCATGACCAGGGAAGTGGGAAACTGTGCTTCTGCCAGTCTGCTTCCCTGAGCAAGAGTGTGAACTACTTTTTTCTATTTTTGAAGCTTCCTCTTGGCACTTAAAACAGCAAATTTCGAGAAATAACTAAAAGTCGAGTGTGTAGCAGGAAGTACCTTGAATCATTCAGGGCTACTTTTCATGAAACTGCTAGTTCCATCTCCTTCAATTTGTGACAGGATTCAGCCTTTGCTTCCCTTAGCACCAGGTGCTTCTTGAATTACCTTTTTGAAAATGTTTCCATTAACACTTAGTTTTAATAAGTTAAAGAAAGTGAGGAGTAATTGTCTTGCTGTAAGTTTCTCTTTGGTTTGATTCAAAGCTGCAGCTGACTCTGGTTCCAGCCCTTATTAATGCCATTTTGAAATGGCTTATTAACATACAAATATTAGGATATCATGGATGCTTGATGTATTTAGCAATGCAGAGCAGGATGTTTTTTAAATGAACTGAAGTGTCTTGGAAAGAACATGTCTTTGTTGTCTTGTTAGGCCTTGTCCAAGCCTGCTATGTGTGTTTTAGCCATAGAGATTCTTTCTGGGGATGGCAGTTGTCATCCATGCTGAAGAAAGAGGTGACAACCCTTTCCAGCAGGCATTGTATTACATCACATTTGTACAGTAAAATGCTGCAGCAGGTTTATTTGCTTTTCCATCTCTTATCCTATAGCATAGTAGTGGGGAATGATGGGAGAGCAAACTTCTCCTCCCCACATCTAGGCAAAATGCCCACATGGTTTGTTTCTTTCATTTTTTCTTACTTGCATGGTTGGTTGGTTGCTGGAGTGCAGAACATGGGAGGAAGCTCCAGTGAAATGAATGGGACCAGCTTCCATTTAAACTTAGATTTGTTCGGAGTCTTTGTTGTAAATCAGTTGCATGTGAACTACAATAGCAGACACCATTTAAATAATGTTGTGTGTTTTTAGCAGCGAGAGCATACATTTCTTATTGTGTTTTTGAATTCACAGGACTACAAAGCTGATGAGGATCCAGCATTATTCCAGTCAGTCAAGACCAAGAGAGGTCCTTTGGGGCCTGACTGGAAGGTAATACAAGCTGACCTTTCTTCCATTACAGTATGGATCAGCAGGAAAAGTCAGCACTGAGCAGCTCTTGTGGGACTTGTAGCTGCTGTTTCAGTAAAAATGCTGCTTCCTCCCTGCTCTTCTTTCTCAAGCGCAGTTCTGTCCCTGTTGCTGAACCTGAATTCCCTGAGCAGTGGGAACAGCATGCCAGTTATTCTGAGCAGAAACATCAGGACGCAGAACAGGCCTTCTGTCTTTACAGCCCTGACATGAGCCCTGTCAAACCCTCTGTGCAAAGATGCAGTTTTGACTGTGTCGGGGGATTACCAGTCAGACTGAAGCACAAGAGATGGATTGAATGTATCAACTTTTACTTGATTTATAAGACACTGTATAGCATTAGGGGCTTTAATCCTAAAAAAAATGGGTGGCAGTTAAAATAACACAGGCAGGCTGGTTTTGGTAATATTTTGAATTTGATGGGACAACCACATATTTCAAAGCAAATGGAAAGGTTTGTGGGAAAAGAACATGGCCTTCCATGTTCTTTAGACTTGCTTGCACCTCTTCTGTTTGTAGGTAACCCTACACTGCTGTCGTCTCAGCTTTTTAATAAGCTATACATACATTACCATCCAAGCAATACTCCCTGCGAATTGACTGTGTGACTTCCAAATTACTGCAGAGGAGCTGTATCTTTTAAAAGGCATTTGGTAATGTTTATGAAACTCACCCAACTTCCAGTGTTCAGTTCATTCTCCACTAGCATTCAGGTGCCTTTTACCTACCAGGGATATCACAACAAAGCAGCGAGTAAAATGAGAATTGGCAAACACCCCAAGCAGAATGTGTGAGGAAAGCACACCAGGTGTATAATAGACTGTATATGGCAAAGCAAACGCAAAGCATAAAATACAAAAAAAGTTGCCTGGACACAGAAATGTAGCAGGCAGCTGTACTCTACCGGGCAACTTCACTTGGTATGTCCAATGATGTATTGAATCTTTCCCGACTCCTTGATCCTTTTTGGGGCATGCGCTTGGAGGCGTTCTCTGCAGTTCAGTTTGCTCTGGCCTGATTCTTCTTTTATACAGTAATGGATTTCAAGAAGGTTCTACAGTTCTCTTTTCTGAGATAGATGCACACATACACTGACTGCTTTCCCAGAGGCTGCTCGCAGTATAGCCTGCTTTTCCACCTGGACCTCAGGGAGGCTAAAGAAAACTTTTTGGTTCTTGTGTCCCCATTTCCTCAATTCAAGATGCATTGTGAATTTATTTGAACCCTTCAATTCACTGCTTCAGCTTCTTGCCCTGAGCTGGCTCAGCTTATCGTATGGTTGCAAGAAGAAAATACGAAAGAACATTTTGATGGAAAGTGCTCTTATTTTTGTGAGATAATGTTTTCATGCACTCAATTTAAACGTCAAATAAAATACTACACATTGATTTTTGACTTTTTGTTGAACATTTAACTGATTCATTGCAGCTTTGAAGTCAGACGTATTAAGGGAGAATGGATTATTAAAGAAATCCTCATTAGTATTAAACGTGTTCTCAGGAGGTTTAGCTCTGAGGCTTTTTCATCTGTAGACTCAGTGCTCTGTACTTGAGAATAGCTTGCTGTGAGTTGTCCCTTCTCTCCAAGGATTTATCCACCTGCTTTTTCAAAGAACAGTCATTTTTTATTCTCTCTGCAGGTTTACTTATAGCTCAACCATATTAGAATGTTTTGATGTGTTTGGGAGGTTTAATACATCAGCTTCCTCTGCTGTAGCTAGCTCTTACTACTTGTAAAATAGAGGCAGCAGTAATCACAAATTGGGCAGCATCCTCATGGAGTGTTCATCTTTGCTTTCTCTTTCAGCGAATGGCCCTCTGCTCTGGAGGTTGTGCTCTTTCTGAGCATTCTATTTAACTCTGATGCTGGCAATTGGGTTGGATCCGTTTTACAGTTTGCTTTTCTTTGCTATCAGTAGTTAACCTTCTGGGCTTTACAAAGTGTGTGAATGAACAGACTCATGTCTAGCTTCCCTTTGCCTTTTTGTTATTAAATACTGTTTTAAGTGCAAAACTTGATCTGGCTTTAAAGGCGCTATGGCTTTAAACAAAATCCCAGTGATAGCGTAGGCACGCTATTGTAGTAGAAGTTGGTGGGAAATAATAAGGCATCTGGCTGTGTTTGTTCTGTTCTGTTCAGGATTTTTATGCTACCAGTTCACTTGTTCATAATCATTTGAAATACGTGACAGCAAAACTAGGCACTGTGATGCAGGCATGATGAATTTCCCAGAGGTCTTATCACTGGGGAATAACAGTTAATATCATTTATTAATGCAGATAACATGGCTTGGCTATTTTGGATTCCATGCAGAAGTAGCCAGAGGAATTGCAGAAAACAACACAAATAACAGTCACGAGTAGCCTTTACTGCAGTTAAGCTGATGTGAGCTACAATGACAGATGCCATTTAAATAAGCAGCAGCATATTTTTTTTTAAATACTATAGTATACATCTAAGAACAAACAGGACAGCCCCCACCAGGGCTTCAAAAATACATCATCAGTATGTTGAAGTGGTGTCTCAGGAGAGTGGGAAGCACCTGGAAACTGCCCACTTAACTAGCTGCTAGTCCTAGGTAGAATGTCACTGAATCCCAGCGGCAGAGGAATTAATACAGGACTTAGAATGTTTTCTGGTCTGATTCAGCATCACTTTCCTTATGTTTTCACTCTTCTGAAATTTATAAGTCTTAAGTTATCTGGCCTTCAATGAGATCGTAGATACTGAGGAGAAAAACAGCCAACTTCTCATTCCATAGAACTTGCTTCTTAAATGTGCGAGCAGCCATATAAGGCTTGTTTTAAAAATATTCTGTCTGATGTTTTCACTGTGAGTACAACAAAGTGGAAAGGCTCATGGATTCTCCAGTCTTACAGGCAAACTGTGTCTTTCATGTAATTCAAAGAGTTCTGTAGGACTTTGAAATTCTGTAAATGATAGTTGAGACGCAAAGCAGGCACTTCACAGCAGCTTAGGACAAAGTTCAGAATTTTTGAGTCAACACTTAATTTGCTTTGCATGTGTAATAATTATAAAACTAATTTTTAACAGGAGTGACTTCAGTGTGTACAGTTCAAACATGTATAGTTGGATTACTTGTAAATGCCTTTTCCATAGTGACTAACTTGCATTGCAGTGCACACAAGTCAAACAGAAACCTCCCATTCAACTCTTCGCATTTGTGTTTCCCTCCAAACAGAAAGAGCTGGCAGCTGATGAAGACTGTCCAAAAATGTGTGCTTACAAGCTGGTGACAATCAAGTTTAAATGGTGGGGATTGCAGAACAAAATTGAAAACTTTATTCAGAAGGTGAGATGCTAGGAGTTCTCATCCAGAAACAGAAAGGAGAGACCCTGCAGTCTGTGGTTTGTGTTGCTGGCAAAGGAAAAGGGCACCACTTATGGAAATTCCCTGCTTCTGTGCTGTTCTGTCCTTTCCAGGGGAGGGTCAGCTGGCAAGGCAAGAGGCCAGACTTTGATAGCTACAGGAAGAATGGAGATGCTGCAGTTTGGCAGCCAAGATGCAGTGGTTTAAACCTACTCTTCCCCCATTTCTCTTTTTTAGCAAGAAAAGAGGATATTTACCAACTTCCATCGTCAGCTTTTCTGCTGGATTGATAGATGGATTGATCTCACGATGGAGGATATCCGGCGGATGGAGGATGAAACGCAGAGAGAGCTGGAAGCGGTAAGGGTGCTGTCAGATTAGTTTTTACTTGGCATCTCCATACACCAGCACTGGGTCTGCTTTAGAGGCTTCTAGATAATTCACTGCTGCTCCTCACTAGCACATCAGTATAGTGGGAGAGATTCTGAGTGTACATGTTTGGAACAAGAAGACATGTAGTAAAAATAGAATAAAAGAAGTTTTGCAGCAGGCTTTTCCCTTCAATGAGGCCCTGTGCCGATGAGCAGAGGATCATTTTGTCTGCTGGCTTTTTCACCAGAATATACTGGCTCATGAGCAGATGTTCCAACCAAAATATATTGACTAATGTCAGATGATTCCTTCCCTTCCGTCTCTCTGCAAACATGCAGTAAAGACATCATAGGCCATGAGTAAGAGGTTTGTTTGATGATCAGCTCTTTCTTATAGGAGTGACCTTGATTTAGATGCTGTTTGCAATAAAATTTTTAAACTGTTTGCTCCTTTTGCCACCAGTACTGTCTGAGGTTTTGGTTTGCAAACATGATGCTTATTAAAAGTTTTCCTGGTTTTTTGCTAGGATGTACTATTCTTTGCTATCTGTCTCTGATTGCATTCGAATTATTGTCTTTCCAACCACTGTAAGGGGCACTGAATTTCCCTTCTGCCTACCTGCCTCTTCTTGTTCTTTGCTTCTTATTGACAGTGTGCAGCCCATTGGAAGATGTTGGCCTTTGCACAGATACAAGTAGCAATGCCTTGCTGTTATTTCTAGCTTTCAGGATCGCAGGAATCTTTAACACTATATCCATGTGGATCTGGGTCTCCAACAGATGTCCTCATGATCAGAGGAACAGATGTATGACTGGGTGCCATGGCCACTTAATAGGGATGGAGGGGGAGAGTGACTTTTGAGACTCTGTCTTTCACCTAGTATCAAGTCTTGGTCTGTTCCGCTTGTTTCTCTGGCAGCTTCATATTTTCTCCAACTGATCTTTCATTTCTCTGTGATTTGTCCTTTAGTCTCTGTTTCATCTTCTTTTCTATGCAGTATTTTCCTGCTATCAAACTATGTTGAAGTATCTTGCATCTGATAGTTCCTAAATACTTACATAAGAGGGACCCAATAGGAAGGAGAAATATCAGGCAGTTCTCCAAGCCGTAGCTGTGGTTTGGGAAGCTCAAAAACCCAAGATATGTTTTTTGTTGTTGTATTAAAAACATACAACACTCACTAGAATTTGGTGGATTCTTATATTGTATTTGCAGCATTTCATCAATTCACTGTTCCAGTCTGCCAGTACATAACATTCAGCAACACGTGTTCCCCATTTTCTTCTCCACTGGGAAGAGGCCTTAGTGACAGAGATATTCTAGCAGTTTGCTTGAGCTGTATGTTGTGCAGGAAAGATGGGCAGATGAGGTGCTCTTTGTCCTGTATATTTTTTTGCAGGGCAAGAGCCTCCTTAGTACTGGCCAACAAAAGCTTTTTTCTTGGCACTGTAATCCAGCGCTGCTAACCTGCTTGGATAACTGCCTGGTTGCTTACATTTTATTTTGCATTTAGATCCGTAAGAAGGGTTCTGTTCGAGGTACATTGGCTGCCGACGTCTAGAGGAATCCTGTGTAGGGCCAAAGGCAAAAATCAAACTGTGTAAGTGACTTGGTGGGTACTGAGGAACTCAGGCCTCTCCTGACAAAGGGGTATTTCTTACCAAACCCAGACATTCAGAGTCTCCCTATTGACCTAATGGCATCCAAGTGTCTCTTTTACCATTCCTCCTACCCCAACTGCTGATTCCTCAATGTAGCCATGACATTCTCTTGGGCAAAAGTAGTGTGAACTGCCAGTTCGTTTGCTCACCACAGGCCGCACCCTCCTGCTGTCACTACCACTTCCATTGTTTGAAATGGCATTATTTTAGAAGGAGATGTGGTGCAAAGGCAACACGTGCCCTTCTTCTTTCCAGAGTCATATTGGTTTGAGTAGCTGAGGCAAGATGTGCTGCCCACTCCTGCTGTAGGGCACATAACTGAACTTCACAGGCATCTTATTCAGGCATCATGTTGACAGCCTACACCAGGTCTTTGTCCATATCAAAAACAAGGATTTTGACATGTAAGCATGGTACCTTTGGTTTCTTTCCACAGTGGGGGATGGGGAGACCCTGCCCCAATTGCTGCATTTGTTCTCCTTTGTGGCACAGCCTGGAGATTTCCCTGAGATATCTCATAAATTTGGAAACTCGTAACTTTGTATGTTTCACCCCCACCCCCAGAAAGTAGGGGTTTAAGTGGGAACCACAAACTCTTTTCCATTTTGGGAAGTAACTCTCAGCCGATAGTTGCAATCTAGGCAGTTTCTCTCAAGCCAGTATTTACTTCAAGGAAGTTCAAAAAGGATACCTTCTTGAGAGAGGTAGTCTTTCCAACCCAAAATGTTGACATTTGCTCCTAAACATAAAGTGTAAGAGTCTCCAGTAAGGGTTCCCCCCGCCCTGCCATCATTCTTAATTGTATGCCCTTCAACCTGCTTGGCATGAGTTTGAATAAATTTTACAGCATTTGTTGTGTTTTGTACCAGTGATGGCTTAACTGCATCCTACCAAGTTGCTTTCCCAGGAAAAATGAGCAAAGCCACTTGCCACCTTTGACAGTAGTAACCGCAGACTGATTGCTGTTTTGCTCTCCACAGTTGCGTAACCAAGGCGAAGTAAGAGGAACAAGTGCTGCCAATGATGAATGAAGAAAGATCTGCCCAGTCATGTGTGTGGCATGTTGATCCACCTGTGTGTGTGTGTGTGTGTGTGTATGCACGATTCTTTGCATATACAGTTGTGCATGCATGCACACATAAAAGGGGTGCACAATTGTACTGAGGGGCTGCTACAGCCTCTCCAAGGTACTGAATCTCTTCTGGAAAGGAAGCTGCTTTCATTGTCTATATCCAAAGCTAATAAAGCTACCTAGTGTCATTTAAGAGGAGAGATTGCAGAGTTATATCAATTGGTATGTTTCAAGACTGTTGTTACTGGACCAATTTATTTCCTCATTTATGTCCTTTTTGAGTCTCTCACTGCTAGAAGTTGGATCATTTTCTCTAATAGAAGTGGGTCAGTTAATTCCCCATTTTGTGTTATCCCTTCATAATTTTGGAATAGGAAATCTGAATGTATTTATAGTTATTTATTTCTAGTTTGTCACATATCTTGAAAATCAAATCATATATTTCTTGTAGTTAGAATCAGTTTTTGCTATTGAGTAAAACACAAGCCAAGCTTTTATCCATCTGCTGCAAATATATATATATATATCATTGGAGTTTTGTATATTGGAAATCAAGTGTTTCTTCATTAAAATTGGCATAAGAAGAAGAGACTGTGTCATAAGCATCATGAATGAAGATGTTAATGAAACTTTGTCACTGCTGTTGTTGAACTGGAATTGGTGTGAAAGGGGAAAAACATCCCTGAACAGTAAGCACACTGCTTTCTGAACACATTGTATTTCAACATTTCAGTTGGGAAGCTATTTAAAGGCTTGATTCTGCACCAACTCTATGAAGTAAAATTGACACTGGCTCTCTTCATATTCAAAAATATCATTCAGAGTGATCTTTTTCAGATATACAGTATATCTGTCTGAAAGAGAAGATCACTTTGAAGGATGTTTTTGCGTACTATTCAGATTTATTATTTCTCTGTTATTTGCTTGATATAGCATGGGAAACTACTGTCTTAAGATCTTACCGCAGAAAGTCCTTACTTGAAAATGTCTTTTAAAAAATAGAACATATCATAGATTCAGACTATCACAGTCCTTGGTAGACCAGTAGAACCTCAAACAAATGGAGATGTTTGAGTTTGGCATATCTATTGTGGGAGCAAATGAACAGTGGGCTAACTTTTGTTAATCAGCCCGACTCTGAGCTGAGATAAAGGCAAGTCTACTCACTGTTGGGAAGCAAACATACCACTGGATTCAAGAAGGAGCAGTTAGATGAGAGCAGCCCTGTGAGCTTTCCCATACTGTATCTTCATCTGAAGGCTTTCACCTCAAGGCCGACCTTTCTCAGCTTATTATCACAAAGGGAAGCTTGTTGATCACCAGATTGGCTTTGTAAATATATAAATAATGTTTTTAAGAGACTTGATCATATATGCTGTTGCTAATTCAAAAGTCCAAGGGCTTCCTGGCTTCTTTCAGTGCAAGACTCTGCTCCTGTCAGTACCAAGGAGAGCCCCAAGCTGCATCATGCATCAGTTGGGTGGGGATTAGTCACAAGAGGGAACTTTTAGTGAATGTAACAGTTTACTTATGCAGTTTCTGGTCTGAACTGCATTAAGAATCTTTAAATAAATTTGCTCATAAAATCCTCCTTGTCTCTTGTGTTTGGCTCTTGTTTTAGTGGAACAGATCAGATGTACAAGGATGCAGAAGTGGAAGTAATAGCTGTACAGCAGACTACTAGAAAAAAAGGGTGGTGGTGGTTTGTATGGAATGCTGCTTTGCCTTCTCTTTTTAAGAGAGCTGTGGCTAAACACTGAAAAGGATTGTTTTGAGTGGTCTAAAGGGCAGCTGTTGATTGTTTTGGGGCATTATAACCAGCTGGTCCTTGGATTATGGTATCCATAGAGTCAAGGGAAAAGTTAGCCTGGAATTTCTTCAGTACATAAATCTGGCTTTTGGTAGCTACACTGAATATACATTTACTGGATTAAGTGAAGGTATTTCAGTACTGCAATTCTGTTATCTTAACTTTGCTATTTGTCGGAGATAAAGATCATTTTGTACACTTGTAACCCATCTTTCTCCCAACAAAGGGTCCCAAGTTAGTGTAAAAATCATTTAAAAAATAAATGTACTGTATTATGTTTTACCATTTATATTTAACACATTTTGATAATATGTTTTTAAGAGTTTACTTTTTCCTTAGCCTCTCTGTAGGGTTTCCTACATCTTCTGCTGTGCTGCCCATGTCATTGTTTGCTTGATGTAGTCATTTTTCCTTCCAGCCCAGAGAAGAAGGGGAAACATAGTGGTTTAGTTTTGGGATTGGGAAAAGTTGGTATCCAAAAAAACTCAAGTTAACTTGAGTCAAAAGATAATACCAGGGGCAGCTCTACACCTTAACCTTGGTATGTAAGCACCATTTTTTTTTTAAATGGCACCCTGATTGAAAGCATTTGTCTCCCTCCTTAGGAAAAAAAAAGTTCTTCAGGCAATGCTGATGTAATATAAAAAACCTAGATGTTCCCAATAATGTGAGATTATATCTTTTGGTGGTAGTTTAGGCTTTCCTTTGAAGTTGCTTCTGCTACAAATGCTATATTCTTGTGTATTGTTCAGAACAGAGCTTGGTGTCCTCATCTAAGGCTGATGAGGGCTCTTCAGTGCAGTGCTCTGCAGCCTTTCATAGCCCTACGGGCCAGTTGTCACAGGAAGTAAATGCAAGGAAAGAATGGTCCAAGCAGTTTCCTTGATGAACAGTGTCTGACAATGGCAAATTCTTGCATTGTAAGCTGAACAATTTGACAAGAAAGTTGAAGGCTGAGCCTGCTTGAGGCACCAGTGAATTGGAAGTCTTTATTATGATCTGACCATGAAAATTTATCCTTCACCATCACTTTCGCTGTCCTCACAAAGTGAGAGTGCTGAAAGTCCTCTGCAGCAGCCTCCTTGGATCCAGAGGTGATTTAACAGTCTTATTTATTGATGTTCTGATTAAACTCTAATTTTATATGTTAAAAGTGTGGAAGATTTACATGCTGGGAATGGGAAGTTCAGTTCAGTGTACGCTGGAATTTGCAGAGGCTTAACTCAAGTACCGAAGACAAGAGGGCCTGGCGTGCTCTGGTCCATGGGGTCACAAAGAGTCGGACATGACTAAACGACTAAACAGCAACAAACTCAAGTACCCATTTCAATCTCCTCCACAATATTATCAATGCACCTTCTGTTAGCCTGGTGTTTTTGAACTCCCAAAATAGAAGGACACAGACTAATTCAGTTGCTTTTTACTGCACCTCTTTCAAATATAACACCTCTTTTTATTTTTAAGGTAGAAGCCATCAGAATTATAATATTGTACTCCAAATGCCATAGATTATGAATGAGGTTTTTTTACAGGTCCTTGTTCTCGTGCTTTTACAGATGTGAGGTACATCTCAGAGAATTGCCATGTCTGCCACAACTCCACTGTGGGCAGAGCAAGATTCATAAGGAACAAAGACCACAGAGTTAGCACCATGGATAGCTCAAAGGGGGGCAAGGAGCAGGAAGCTAGACAGAGTTGTCTAAATGTTCAGCTCCAATAAAGTACAGATGGAGATGAAGCCTTTGGCAAGAGGTTGGCGCAGCCCCTGTCCTACCGAAGACTTTGTTTCTTAAAGGGTCCTGTTTTGTTTTGTACGCCCCAGGGTGCAAGAAGCAGGGATGGTCTTCAGGGCAGTAATGCAACCTCCTCCAGACAACAGAAAAGTTGCAGGCTTCCAGGACTGAGAAGATGGGAGACCCATGAGATCTTCTTGAGATTGAGCCCCTTCTTTGATCTATGAACTCTGCAATCTTTTTTTCAAGAATTCAAAACCTTCATTGTTGACAAGACTTTATATTTACTTTCTTCAATAATAAATGATCCCCAGTATAGAATTTGCCACATACAAACCTGGAGATATTCCACTCAAATTATTTGTAATCTACTTGGGGTTCTGACAATGTGGTACTCTAGTGCCATCTGCAAATCTGGCTGTCTTACTATTTGTGTCTAACGCTGCATAATTCACAGATATTTAACTACAACAGTAACAATGCAGCTTCTCAAAGCACTTCACTGCTTATGCCCTTCCACTGAAATCTGTTTGCTCTGTTCTTTTAACTCATTGGAACAGAAGGCAGTTATCAGTCCAGAAGTTTGATTTAAATATATTGGGAATCAGCCAGAGTGCTCATTGTATTTTAATTACTTACCAATTTGGCAGATAACTCATCTTTTTGTCCCATAGTTTAGCTTACATGGACACCTTCTGGTGAGAGGGTTTGTCAAAAACTGCTTAGAAGTCCAATAATCTCCCACTCTTTGTTGGGGCACCAGGATTAGGGTTTGGGTAGGTTGGGGTTCCTGGGCAAAATAATACACTTCCTTATGAGTCTGCACCAGTTTAATTTCCTACAACACATGGCCCATGGACATATATGTTGCAGATTGCTCTTCTGGCATGTACCTCCTTGACTTTTAAAAAACTAAAGCAGGTAGAACAACAAGAGCTTTCATCTATTTCTATTTAACAATTCTAACTTTAATCAGACTGTGGAACAATTTACTTTAGACCAGTGTTACCTGTCTGAAATTTCCTGGCTTCTCCTACATCTCCCATGACAATTTGCCACTCAATAGTGCTAAACTGGTTAGGTCCCATATTCTAACAAGCATTGTGAAAAATAATGGGATACTGTATTTTAATTTTTGTTAGAAATCCTATTTCATGTTTAACTGCTTAAGAACATTCTTTCCAGATTGAATTATTTGTTAATTTTTAATTTGGGAATTAGCCTTGTCCCTTCATGTCTTGACACTTTTATTTGCTTCTGCTTATCCATATGGGTAAAATCTGAAGTGAAAATAGTCTTTTGCTTTGATAACATCCCTTGCTCCCTCTTGACTCTTTCCATGGCTCCCTGTCATTTCTTCCCAAAAGCTTTTCCACACAAAGAAATGTGTATTTGATGCAAAAGCCAGTAGGTGGCAGCGAAAGATGTGAAAAAGTGTCTAGCTCCACATCTGCTCCATTCTTTGCTTAGCAGCATCTCCACCAGTGCTGATGGGAGGGTTCCTATAGCCAGCTCTACTTACTTAAAGATTTTAACGAAAAGCAGCTGTTGCTGGAGTGAAAATGCAGATTGCATGTTTATAAAATTGGAAGCAATTAGATGGTATATAATTTCCTTGTCCCATGTTTGCAGAGAGGTTGAGGTATGGTGCACAGGGAATTGTGATTGCTTCCTTCCCCCCACCCTCTTCCTGTACCAAATGATCAGAATTTGAAAGGGGCAGGCAAACTCCTAACTATGTTCATTTAAGCAGAAGTTTTTGAGATTTACACTGTCTATGCTGAGAACCTGAACTCATATTTGTGTATGTATTTAAGGGCCAGAATGTCGGGATTCTCAGGTATTTGAAAGAGCTATTATAAGAATAACTTTTCCCCTAAAGGCGTTACAACATGAGGACAGTTTATGTGACACTTTAAATCTACTGGTCACTACTGGATCTTTTTCTGGCTGTATCCCCCATTCTGTTTTCTTCCACCATGTACCCCATCTCTCTGCATCCCACTCTGGAATTAGCTTAATTCAGTTTATAGACAGACTAGTTGAGAAAACTAGTTTCAGTCTACCATGACACTACGTGGAAGATTTGAAAGTCACCATTTTAGAACAGAACAATCACCAATCCAGAACACAGAGGGAAACAGCTGAGATAAAATTTATGTGCATGATGGGCACCCATATAAATGAACTGAATATAAGCCTAGGTTTATTTACCAAATCTAACACATCTGTTATAATCCACTGCCACTGCCATTTTCTTCACAGCTACCAAGCCCATCTCTCATTACAAGGTTCAAAGGTAAAAACTCAGTGTTTCTTACAGTAACACACAGGATTCTTCTGCCATCTTATTTTACCTTTATAGTTAATATTTCTCTCTGTCTAGTTTTAAATAAATCTCCAACCTTCCAAAAACAAACAAAAAATAACAACAAAACAACACCAACAAACCTCCACACCTCTCCTCTCCCCCCCATCCCGCATATTTGCCCAGGCTTGGTGTGTGTTTTCTGTCTCCAGAGGAATTTTTACAACAGAGCCCTAAAACAACATAAACCAAATTGCTGCACATAAACATACCATACACCCAAGAGCCAATGAATATTTAGTATGAAACGGATATTTCATTCAACATTGTGTTCTGTTTCCATATGTCTGATGAAGTGGATGTGTCCATGAAAGCTCACATTAAAATACAATGGATTTTAAAGTGCCACATGTCTTTGTTTTGTTTCGTTTCTTTGGATTTTGCCTGATAGTTTGAAAATGTCAACTTATTTCCAAAGTTCTTTCCTGCTTTGTATTATTTTTGCATATGTAGCATGAGAAGATTATACACCAATGACATTACCGTATTGCCTTGAAGCTTGTAAAAATAATAATTTTCTATTACAGCTTTCAGAAAAACTCATCCAGCATGGCCAGTTCCTTTATGGACCAGAGTATGGAGAGAGCTGTGGTGGCAACATGTAATGACTCTAAGCTCTGGTATTACTTCAGGGAACTGGCATTCATTACACAAGGTGTGTTGGATAGCCACTCAAAAA